ATGCCTGCATATGCAAATTAACCAACATATTTGTTGGGTTAATTTGCATACCTGCTCTTATTGACTGGTGGGCATAGCGGAGTGATGGTTAATTTGCATGTCTCTCCTTTATTATTGTAGATAGATACATTTTTGCTATCAAGTTTGAACAAAACAGGTAGTGTTTCTCATTGGAAGCAAGCATGCAAGTATAGAGGGAGGTTAGTTCACTGCCTTCAATGTTCCAGGCATTAACAGGACTGCCTTTGTGTTTAGCTATAAGGAAAACATCATGCACCTCTCCAGCCTCCACAAGGACCGCCCCATTGAACCACTGGACCTGGCTGTGTTCTGGGTGGAGTTCGTGATGAGGCACAAGGGAGCCCTGCATCTGCGCCCGGCGGCCCACTTCCTCACCTGGTACCAGTACTATTCGTTGGACGTGATTGGCTTCCTCTTGGCCATTGTGCTGGGAGTTGCCTTTGTTGTCTATAAATGCTGTGCCTTTGGCTGCCACAAGTGCTTTGGGAAGAAAAAGCAAGTTAAAAAATCTAACAAATCCAAGGCACACTGAGAAATGGGTGAAAAATGAGGTGACCTAAATTTGTAGTCTGTGTTAAATGCATGTTATGCTCATTGAAGACATACTTTACTGTAAGTTAGACATCCCAGAGTGTGTGTGTGTGTTTTTTTTAATAAAAATAATTTAATTGCTAGTCACACTGGTAGTTAGGAAAAATGTTTTCAGCCCCCTTCAAACCTTTAATCTGGACTTTATTTGCTACTTTTAAAGGACTTGCCAGGTTGGACAGGTCCCTCCTTCACACTGCATTACTCTTCTTACTCAGAAATGGGGCCTGTTTGGGAACTATTGCTGTCCCTGTCTCTGATGACAGTTCTAACATCATCTGCCTTCTAGACTGTTGTGATCAATTCCTTCAGTAATAATGGCAGGTCCTAATCTATTCCTATACTTCACAGATATCACTTTGCTTCTTTAAAGAAGGAAACAGTTATTCCTTTAGAGTAGGGGTGTCGAACTCAATCAGAGAAGGGGCCAAAATCTAAAATCCAGCCTAAATCGCGGGCCGAATGGTTTACTGAACAGTCATAAACTGTCATTGTGATGGAAACGCAGCGGAGTGCAGTGATGACAGTGCGGTGCGGGCTACATTGCAAGGCCTGGCGGGACAGATTTGGCCCTCGGGCCTTGTGTTTGACACATGTGCTTTAGAGCCTAGTGCCTTGCACTTGAATGAATGAATGACACAGAGCCCGTGGAGAACAAAGTATGATTTCTTTCTTTGGGGGAAAAGAGTGATGTATGAAACTGGTGGGTGATGTGTATGAAAGGACAACCATTGCTTATGCCAAATGGATCCGAATTTGATAGAAGCCCAAAGTGTAATATCTGGCTAGTATATTTTTCTCTGATGTATGTTTCCTACAACTAAAAACATATAAATAAATTTATATAAATTATATTTCTTAGATATTTTTCTTTTCATTGATTTTGCTTTTATTTATTGTTAAATTACATATTCCAATTACAAAAGTAATGTATGATTATGTATGTTTAAATTTGAAAAATGCAGAGTGGTACCCATACACACACAAAAAAATAAAAAACTCCTGAGATTCTCAGAAATAATCAAAGTTGCTATTTTGGCAAGTGCGCATAAAAGATCACAGCTATGCTCCATATTGGCAGTGTTATTTACCATTCTTTTTCCACTTCACACTAGCACAAACTTTCTCCCAGGTCTTATAGAAACATTTCATTTGTGTTTAGTGGCTAAGGACTATTCTATTGCATAGATATACCAGGATGTATGTAACCACAACTGCTGAGTGGATCCACCTTTATTTAAAAAAAGAAAGCTGTCTTAGCTCATATTCCTGACTATCTCTGTGGGAAAGAGCTTTACAACTAATCAATGGTTGTCTCAGTTTGGGTTTCTCTGCAGTGATGATTCAGGCCAAGTATTTTCTTTAGGAATTGAAGGTGCGTGGGCAATGGGATAGGGTGTGATGGCCCCAAGAAACTGGCTCTCCTGTGGGTGACTGAGCTGAATCCCCCAGGTGGATGCTGGGAGTTAGCACACAAAATGCACCCAACTTATCCAGGCCCTTGGGTATCTGAACACTTGCCTTGCCAGTGATAGGCTGCTCCCAAGTGGTTACTAATTTCCTGCACTTCCAGTCAGCATGGCAGCTCTGGAATCCAGGGAGCTCCCAGGGAGGGAAATGTTGTGTGGTACTGGGGAGGGTTTGTGCACTAAAGAGAGAAGAACACAGGACACTGGGTGAGGCACTGCTGCTTTTTATTGCACGTGGTTTGAAATATTCTTAAATTGCATTCTGAGATGGTGTGAGAAAGCTAGGTTCCCACACGCTGCAAGAGAAAGCAATATCTTGCCAACAACAACAACACATCAGTTTGTTAAGAGAAATGTGGGCTCTTGTTTTAAATTTGCTCCTATTTTATCATTACTATGAAAAGTTGACTTTTTTACAAGCTTATGAGCCAGTTGTATTTCTGTTTTATCCCATTGCCTATTTTCCTCTGAGGGTATTACCCTGAGGGGTGGCTAAGAGAGCTTACTGCCCTACTGAGAATATTCTCTGCCATGTATGGGAAGTATTTTCTCCATTTAATTTTTTTTTTTTTTTTTGCCTTTAATTTTTTCCCACACCTCTGCTTGTTACTTTGTGTTATTTTCAGACATTTTAAACATATAAGCTTCATGTTGGAGCTGGGTGTCACAGGGATCCCCAAGCTGCTTTTGGAGCACAAGCTCTTCATACCAGCTCCCTCCCCACATCTAAGCACCCTGTGGTGACCCTTGAATTGGGTCCCAATCTTTCTAGGCCCTTTGGTCCACTCAGTGACCATCTTCTGGGCAAGATGCCCATGTTCTGTGCCCCCTTGTCTCTCTCAGGGACCCTGAGGTGCTCTGACCTCTCATGGGCTCTTCTGCACCTTCCTGTTCCTAGTCCCATGAATAAGAGAAGCCACCTCTAGACACCTTAAGTAAGAGAGGGGTCTTTTTGTAAGGAGATGGGGTTCCTAAGGACTCAAGTTCATGGCCAAACACCCAAAAAAGCTGGGATGATTGGAGCCTCTCTTATCTCCTTCTGTCCCTGCATGGTCTGAGTGACTGCTTTGCTCTTCCCCATTCTCTTGTCCTATTCTGCTCCTCCGTTCCCACCTCATTCACAGGGATTGCTCTTCCTGGAGGACAGGGACTTTCTTGCTGCCATCCAGAGTCTAGTCAATATTGTTCCAAAGGGCAGACCAAGGAACAATGCATACTTTTTACGGGATGGTATGCTTGGCACTATAGAGAGGAAGCTCATCTTCTAAAAACCCAGAGTCAGTAAAGTAGAAATGGGTTAATGAGGGTAATGAGCTTCCTGGTATCAGAGGTGTCCAAGCAGAGGCTGAGGAACTCACTTCCTCTTGGCAGGGTGGGCAAACATTGTAATTTTAACTGAGCACCAAGGCCCAGGTGGCTGTGAGTCTTGCCCTGTAATGCACGAAAGGCTTCTGAGGCCAATATTTCATTGCTCAAACTGGTGGTCTGGACTTTCTCACAGCTGCAAGTGGCAGAGAAATCCTTTGGGCCCCATTTTTGGTTTAAGGACACAAGGTTCCTGCCTTCCTTGAGATTCTTTATCGTCTAAGTATTCTGCCAGTGGAAAGACCCTTCCTCATTTTGCAAGTCACCCAATCCTCAGGGAGGAGTCCTTTTCCCGGGACTGTCTGTCACCCACCTCTCCTCCAGCTGCCCCGACCACACCTATCTACCCTGGCTCTCTATGACAGTATCCCCAGGTTACTAGGCTGTGAAGCACCTCCCTCCCACCATTTTCCTCTTCCATACTTCACCAGACATGTGGGTAATGTTTAAACAGCATGATGCAAAGGTTTTCTCACAGGATCTGTGCACTCTTCAAAGTCCTCAGTTGACAGAGACTCAGGGAGGCAGTTGGAGCTCAAAGTTCCAAGGGTCTGGCACCTAACGGTGATGATTCTAATGAAGCCCTCCACCCGCCAGGAGACCTGGTCCTCATCTGTGTTACCACTGAGGATCCCAACTGTCTCTCGTTTTGACAACTGATCCTGCCATTGTCCAAGTCACCATTGATGTATATTAGGCAAAGAACAGAGCTTCTTCTTCTTGCGTTGTATTTTTGTTCCATCTTGGAGAGAGTTTGGAGTAAAGGTCAGTACTGAGGTCTCAGAGTAGATCTTTAAAGGATTCCTAGAAGAAAGGGAACAGGATGGTGATGGGCCTTAGGATGGAGTTTGAGACTGAGGAACTTGGGAACAGGAGAAGAAAAGACCTGGGAGTTTTGAATCTTCCATCTTGACATCTGTGTTGATGTTTGTCAACTCTTAAGAAGCTGCCGTGTGAGAGCCTTTGAAAGAACTGTGAAACTTGCTGAGGTGGATTTCTAATTCATCTTTTATTTTCAGGTCTTCCTCTCTGCTTAATAAATATTATTTATTTCTGTGTAACACATTATCATAAACTTAGTGGCTTAAAACAACACGCATTTATTATTTCGTAGTTTCTGTGGGTCAAAGTCTGGGCATGTCTTAGCCAAGTCTTTTGCTCTGGGGTCTCATAGGCTGCACTCAAGGTGTCAGATCCCTGCATGATCTACAAGCTCATATGACTGCTAGAAGAATCCAGGTTCTTGTGGTTGTGGTACTGAGGCTCTCAGTTCCTTGCCACATGGCCTCCTCCGTCAGCAGTTCATATCATGGCTGTTACCCTTCAAGGCTGGCAGGAGAATTTCTTTCTTCAATCTGCTAAGACTAACATGATCATGAGAGTGGCTTCCCATTATTTTTGCCACACACTATTGTTTAGAAACAAATCATGGAGTCTGCTCACCCTAAAGGGGAAGGGATTATTTAAGGTGTGACTCATTGGAGGTCATTTTAGACTGTGTCGACACACCAAGTATTTTAAAAAATCTTTTTTATGTCAAAAGAGCCTGAGAAAGAGATGGCAGAATCAGCAATAGACTCAAATGAGGACCTGTCAGAAGAAACAGAGGACCTGGAACCTCTGGAACCAGATGATGGTGGTAAGAAAATCACCCATATCCTTGCATTACTGTCTGATCTTGGCCACTAACTCCTTGAGGGCAAGTCCGAGCTGAGGTCTAAATATCTCCATCCACTCTGTGGACAGGAATGTCCCTGTTCAATCATACCACAGGTGCAGCTAAGGCTGTGCAGGTGTTGAGGGGGCTGGGGCACAGGGAGCACCTTCTGTAATGGTGACCTCAGCACCAATCCTGTGCCATCTCTGTCTCAGGGACTTTCCAACAAGTCACAAACCTCCTCAACATCATAGACAGCGAATCAAAGATGGATGCTTCTGGGGCAGGTCCTGACATGCGGAAGACACTGGCCTCGGTGATAATTACGGAGAAGGCCACCACCAAGCCCTGTATGGTGATGAATGCTCTCATCCGCTGCCTACAGGTGCCAGAGGTAGGGCGTCCTGCACCCTCAGCCACTCCTCTGAGCTCAGCCACTGCGGCTTCTTGTGTGTCCATCTACCACTCAGCACACGTACTGACTGTCAAAGGTGCAGGGCTAGGTGCCGGGGTATGGAAATGGGCTGGTCTGTGGAGTTCTAGTTTCTTGAGGACCTAATGGAGACTGTGGCTATGCCAATTTTTAAAAGCTCTTCCATATTCTGACACAATGGGGTTGGGAGCATCATTTTAGAGCTGGAGCAATGGGGTTGGGAGCATCATTCTAGAGCTGGAGCAAAGCTGGTGGATATAGGAGAGCAAAGACACAGCAGACCCAGAGCACAGGGATGTTGAGTCATACCATTGCCTAGACCAGTGGTTGGCAAATTGTGGCTAGCTTAACCCAAGGCAAATGTACACCCCCTTTAAAGCATGACAAAGGACTTTTTGAACTCATCCTTAACTTGTTTCCCTTTACTCATCTAGAGAAGTTCCAGACCAGACTCTCAGAAGTTTCTTCTACCCTTAAGAACACATCCTTGGAATCAGTAGAATTTAGTAATGTAGGGATTCAGAACAAGTCACACCTGGGGCTGCTATGGTATATGGATTGTTTTGAGCTAAAGACAACCAAGACCCTGCAAGAGAAACTTCTGCACACACACACACTCCTTAACTACCTAGAGCAGTGGCTGGCAAACCTCGGCTCGTGAGCCACATGCGGCTCTTTGGGCCCTTGAGTGTGGCTCTTCCACAAAATACCACAGCGTGAGGGTGTCTATTTTGAAGAAGTGGCATTAGAAGAAGTTTAAGTTTAAAAAATTTGGCTCGCAAAAGAAATCTCAATTGTTGTACTGTTGATATTTGGCTCTGTTGACTAATGAGTTTGCCGACCACTGGCCTAGACAGTCCAAGATAAAGGCACCGAGAACTCCCAAGTGGCTGGCAGGCAGCACCACACACTAAAAGGCCCCTGAGTGCCTATTTTATGCCAGTTTTCAAGTTTTGAACAATTTTTCTCTTGTGCCCATAAATATTTTCCAGGGATTAATCTTGATCGCAGGAAAGACTGTTCTTATTACAATTTGCCTGCCATTTATGTAGGTTCATCAAGAGTGATTTATAGCTGAAACTGGTTTGGCTCAGTGGTAGAGTGTCGGTCTGTGGACTGAAGGGTCCTGGTTTCGATTCCGGTCAAGGGCATGTACATTGGTTGCGGGCACATCCCCAGTAGGGGGTGTGCAGGAGGCAGCTGGTCGATGTTTCTCTCTCATCGACGTTTCTAGCTCTCTATCCCTCTCTCTTCCTCTCTGTAAAAAATCAATAAAACATAAAAAAATAAATTAAAAAAACTCAACTGCTGACCCACAGCTGATTGGGCTTCTTTAGTCTTAAAAAAAAAAAAAAAAAGAGTGATATATATATATATATATATATATATATATATATATGCCTTCTAAATTCACTTTGAAAATCCAGAGCAATTATTCTCAACAAATGGGGTGCAATACTGCCCCCAAATGGTAAAACTGGTTCTTAAAGGTTCTTAAAGGGGAGCGGAGAAAATCTTACTTTTTAATATATAAAGCACAGAACTGTATACAGCCATAAACAGGTACAGACTATATGTGTGGTATTAAGGTTTCGTTAGGGCTGATTAGGGAAGAAATGTCTAAGAAGACTCATTAGGAAGCAATAAGGACCAGTTGTGAATCCCTGAGCCTTGTGGTACTGAACAGCAATGGCCACAAGGAATCTGGCTGATGTTTTACTAGCTTCTCTGACTTACTAAACCAAGACTAGAAAAACAAGACCAACACTCTCTATATCGATTTCACTAGTAGAACATATACATTTGGGTGAATTCCTCTCTCCTTGAGGTCCCCAAATTTGCTAAGATGTCTGGTCTGTTGGAAAGTGGTCTTCTTACTGTCTGGAGGAGAAAGCCATCTGCAGCAATGGCCCATATACAGAGTCATCTCTCATTTCTTGATAGTGGCTCATTGTACCTGAATAAATGAGAGTCATTCTCAAATTCAGCTCCCCAGGTGTGGTCTGGGTTACAACCTCTTTGTGCAATTCTATAATTTATAACAGTGATAAGTGCTGTCCAGGAATCAAAATAGAGACAGAGGAACATTCCCTGATCTGAAGCACTCCCTCACTATGGCAAAGGGCAGAGCAAACCCAACTTCTTGGACTCTCAATTGGGTCAGTGCCAGGTCTTGAGGATCTGGTGTGCTGAGTGTTTGACATCTGCCTTGCTGAGCATGCCAGACTGAACACGGAAGAGGGAACCATTTGTAGGCCACACTGGTGTGGCCAGTTGGAGGAGGAGTTTGATGGAGGAGGGAAGGGCAGGTGATGGAGATGGAGGAGTAGGGGTCTGAGGTTTGGGATTTTCCTGCCTGCCATGCTTGTTCCCCAGATCTCCACCCAGCGGAAAGTCAACATTTATAACATCCTGCAGGAGATCATTCAGCAGGAGGGGGAGCTGGAGGAGCAGTGTGTCCACAGGCTGGTGACCATTGCCTCCAAGGAGATGCGGGAGATCCTGGAGGTAGTGGAACTCTGGGCTTCATTGGTATCCTGTGTCTCTGGCAACCTAGGGTGGGGCTGTTGGTGGGTATGGCCTATGACAACCAAGGCTCTTGTCCAACCACCTCATAAGGCAAGAACAGGCTGAGCCCAAGGGGGCCCAGTGGGGCTGGAGAAGGCATGGGACTGGAGGGTTTTATGAGGATCCAGTGGTGGTCACACCACATGTCCCTCTCTGGTCCCCTCAGGTGGAGGGTTACATGAAGGCAGAGGTGGCCAGTGACACCCTGGTAGCTTTGTCACGGAACCATTTCAGTGTGGTCATGTACGAGATGCAACACCGTCTCAAGCCCCTTGAGCTCACAGAAGAGTTTGTCATTATCACCTTGGCGAAGCTGGCCAACGGCAATGGTAGGGTGTGGAGGCCCTTAGCCCAGTTCATGGCCCCTTCGAGCTAACCCAGCACTTCCTCCTAGTCTCTGTCCCATCCTCCCACCCCATTTCTTTCTTTTCTTCTCTTTTCCTGGAATTCCTTCTTTTCATCTCCATGGATCTCTTAACTGTCAAGATTCTCTCTGTGTCTCTGCCTCACATTTTGATCTGTATTTCTCCATCCTTCCATCTCCTCCAAATCTCTGTCCTCTTCATCTGAGGCTGTATTCTTCTCTGTCTTCTCATCTCCCTCTCTCATTTTATTTCCCTTCTCTCTCATTCCCTTTCTCTTCATTCCACAAAAGAGGTATTGAGTCCATGCAGGCATTGCAGTGGGTGCTGGGCCACAACAGGGAATAAAACATGCACAGTCTCTACCCTCGTAAAGGACCATAAACAAGTAAACAAGAAAATAAGTGATCTTAATAAGAGCTGAGGGTGTGAAGAGGACAACCAGGTGGCTGCTTGAAATCAGGATGAGGGAGAGGACTTCATCTCTGTAGGTCCTCATTGAGACAGTTATATTTCAGCTGTGACCTAAAGGATGAGATGATGATATCTGTGTGAAGAATGGGGTGCACTAAGGCATTATGTGCAAAGATCCTGAGGCAGGAAAAAGCTTGGCTTCTCTGAAGAGCTAAGAGGTCAGTGTGTCTGGAGTTACAGAGCCAGGGGAGATGGTGTAAGATGAGGTTGGAAAGTTAGGCAGGCCGAGTGGGTGATGAGTCTTAATTGTATTTGAGGGCAATAGAAAGCTACTGAGGGATTTCAAGGCTGTAGAATTGCATGATGAAACTTAGCTGTTGTGTGGATGGAGACAGGAGATGTGTGAAGGTGTGATGATGGTGGCTTGGGTTGGAGTGCATTTAGTGAGCAGTGAACAGACTGAAGGTATGAATGGGGCTTGGGCATGAATCTGTAAGTTGTGTGTAGGAGGCAAAGAGGAAGCAAGAATGACTCCCACATTTCAGGTTTGAGCAACAGGATACATGGTTGTTAATGTCCTGAGATGGGAAAGATGGAAAGAGAGAGAACTTGGGGGCTCAGAAAGAATCTCATTTGTATGTAATGATCCTTTGTGAGATGTCCAAGTGGAGAGGTCATCTGGGGAGCTGATATGTGGTTTCTGAGTTCAGAGGGCAGGTCTGGGCTTACCCTTCCTACCAGGGGACCTCAGAATGTAGGTGGTGTTCAAAGCCTCTGACCCCAAGGGCATGAAAGTGGAGAGAGAAGAGAAGAGAAGAGAAGAGAGAAGCCTCAGCATTAAGAAGGCTTAGGAGGGATTGTAAGAACAGGGAGGAAGGTTAGGATAGTGTAGTGTAGTGGGCCTTTCAAAGAGAACAGTGATTCAGAAATGCCCAGGGCCGATTGTGTCCCATCTTGCTGAAGGATCCAGTAAGATGAGGCTGGAGAAGGCTGCTTGGCCAAGAAGAGTTTCATGGTGTGCTGGGGATGGAGCCTGGGCAGGCTGGAGAGAGGTGGGAGGGGTGAAGACAAGGAGGATCAGTCACTTGCTGTGAGATGACAGCTGGAGAGGTTCAGGGGCAAGGGAGGGCCTAGACCTCTTATGTGCTAAGGCCAGAGAATCAGGACAGAGGGACAAATGGATGAATAGGAGGAAGGGGCCCAGACAGGGAAGGAAAGTCTTGAGAAAGCATGTTGATGGGAATGGGGGCTCCCAGCACAGTGGAAGAACTAGGTTCAGAGAGGTGTTGGAGTGGGGCTTGTCACCTGTTACTCTTTCTCCCAACAACCTCTTTTCTCTGTCCCTTACCCATCTCTGTTTCCTTTCTTTCTCTGCCCTCCTTTTTTCTATCTGCTGTCTTTCAGTTCCTCTTCCTCACTCTCTGTTTCTCATCCAAGAAAATCTGTGGCACCCAAAGGGAACAGACATCATTCCAAGGAAGCCGATATGTTCTGAGAGCTCATGGTCTCCCACTTCCTGCCTCTCCCATCTTTCCCGTGGCTCTGTCTCTGCTCTCTCTCTTCCCCCGTCCCTCTGTTCCCCGTCCCTTTTATGTCTTCCTTTCTCTTCATCTACATTCAGCTGGCTCTTCACCTCTTGACTTTCACACTATTTTCTGTGGCCGCAGGGGCACAAAGGGATTCCCTAGCTCAGCAAGCAGGCACCTCAGGATTGGGTTGGGGGCAGAGTAGAGGTGTTATCTTTGCTTTCTTCCGGCTTACCATGCTCCCTCAACCTCTCCTCCACACTACAGTGTTTGAGTTCATGCCCTACATGGGCATCACCCTGGCAACCATATTCACGATGCTGAGACTGGTCAATGAAGCCAAGATGCGCCAGGTGATCTGTGGTGGTACGTGTTCCCCGTGGGCCTACAGGTCTGGCCCAATCAGAGTGCTGGAGGGGAAAATGGGGTAAGAAGTGGGTGTGTGTGGGGATTGTTGAACCAGAGGCTGTTCATTTATTCCCAAACATTTGTTCAATCTACTATTTGGTGTGGCCTCTGATTGGCTCTCCAGGAGGGGGCAGGTAGCTTAGAGGAGGAAGCTGTCCCTGTGACTTGGCGTAGCTTGCTCTGTAGTTAAGCTTCTCAGGAGAAGACAAGTGAAGGAGATGGGATTCACAGGGTGGAGACCAGGGGAAATGTCTCTATGTTGGGCCTGACTTGGGCAGGTCTTTGATGCTGTTTACATCTGATCTCCTTGCCCACATTTTCATTACATAATGTTTTCTTGGTCCCCAAATCTCTGAACTCTGAGAAAAATAGGGCAAACTGGGTTTGCTTCCTTCTGTATTGGCATCCCCAGGATGGAGATAAAGAGTTATGCCCAGGCCCCATTCTTGGCCCCTGCACGTGAATCTCAAGGGCTAGGGCCTGGACATGCCTGTGTGCTTAATGCCCCCAACCCTGGGGACACACAGGTATATGGGATAAAAAATTAGGGAGTGGTGAGGGGCTGGAAGGGCAGAGAGGAAGAGATGCAGAGGCAATTTTTCTGGGTTGTGCCTGGCCATCTCAGTAACCTACTAGCTGTGGAAGTGTGTGAGCACTCCCTCTTTCTTGGAGAAAAACTCAACTCTACTTCCAAGGTCCCCTCTGTCATATATTTTTGACTCTATGGATGGGGCTGTGTCCTGCCTCCTGCCCTTCTGGGTTCCCCCTCTCCCACCATAGCCATGGAGACCTTCTGTGAGACGGTGCAGTTCTACCTGAGGCATCTGGAGGACAGCATGTACCCTGTGATGACGGAAGAGCAGTTTGCTATAAAGCTGTTCCCAATGTATCGCTATTTTGTGACCGTGTGGCTGAGGAGCAACAACCCAGAGGTAAGATGTGCCCTTCTCGGGTGGGGGGCTGCCTTCCCCTAGGTAATGGCTCCTTAGCCTGTGAGGCTGGGAGAGCTGAGACACCGCTGGGTCCAGCCTTGTTCCCAGGACCTCAAAGAGATAGTGACCTAATTAATGACAGAGCTAGGAGGTCATGCCCCTGAATGCCCAGGTACTGGTGTCCCAGGAGGCCGGCTTGCTAAAGCCCGGGGAGCTTCTAGATGGGGTCATGTTATGTGCAAGTGGGAGCTCTCCATGTGGTTTACCTATGGGAGCTATTTTCATGCCAACTTTATGCTATAGGACTGTTTCACAAATGAGGAAAGAGACACAGAGTGAATAAGTATCTGTACAAGGCCACCCAAGTGACAGAGTCAGGACTCATGGGGACAGCCAGGCCTCACTGCTCACCTGTGAGGCCCTGGGCAAGGACTCAACTCTACTTCCAAGGTCCCCTCTGTCACACATTCTTGACTCTGTGGACAGGGCTGACATGACTGGGCCTTGCTGGGGGCCCTGGGCCAAAGAATCCTGAGATTCCCCTCCTGTGGTAGGTGAAGCTGGGGGTCATCAAGTCCCTGAGGCCCATGCTGAACCTGCTCCTGCCCAACGATGACCTGCGGGAGGAGGTGTACGACTACCTCCCCCTGCTGCTGGCAGAGTACCAGGGCAGCCTGGAGGCCCTCTTCATTACGCAGGTGCGGGCTGTGTAGGAACTCACTTGGGCTGGAGGCCTGGTCTCCAAGTGTACTGGGGAGGTCAGGGGGAGGGGGAGTGAGAGGAGGAGAGGTGCCATCTGGATGGAAGGTGGGATGTCTGATATTTGGACGATTGACAGCAGACCCAATATCTATGCCTTATGAGGAACCATGGGGCCTGGTACTTTTAGGGGGAAGGGACAAGATCCCAAAGGGTTTTAGAGGCCACGGCGAGGCTGTGACCTTTGTGTAGTTCCCCGGGGCTGCTATAACAAAGAACCACAAGATGGACGGCTTAAATCAACAGAAGTTCATTCTCTCAAGGTTCTGAAGACCAGAAGTCTAAACTCAAGGTATGGGCAGGACTGCATTCCCTCTGAGGGCTCTTGGGGGGGAATCCTTGCTTGCCTTTCCTAGCGTCTGGTATCCAGGCATTGCTAAGCTTGAGGCAGCATCATTCCTAACTTGCCCTTCATTTTCACTTGGCCTTCTTCCCAGTCCCTGTCTCAGTGTCTTCTCTTCTTATAAGGACATCAGTCACTGGATTTAAGGCCCAGCCTAAATCCAGGATCATCTCATCATCAAGAGTCTGGACTGTAACCCTGAGTTGGTGGAAGATCATCTGCCACCATTTGGCCATCTGTTGCAGGTCTTGAGGCAGATCCTAGAAGTGTCAGTCATCACCAGCACCCCTGTTCCCCAAATGCATCTACACACTATTTTCACAGAGCTGCACACCCAGGTGAGGCTGGCAAGTGCAGCTGGGCATGGCATTCTTAGGGTGGATCCGCAGGACAAGGGCTGCAGCAGGTAGCTGACCAGGGCAAAAGGGCGGTGGAGGCTTTGTCTTTCTCCTGTGCACCTACATCCCACTGTCCAGCTGTGACCCTCCCTGCATGGCCCCTTCCCAGGTGTGTACCAAGGCCTCCGTCCAGCAGCAGTTCAGCAGCCAGAATGTGAGGGAGATCGAACACTGCTTCATAGCTCTCGGTGAGGCTCTCCGCACAGCTGGGCCTGCCTCCCCCATTGCTCTGGCTCAGTGGGAGGGACTCAAACTGCCCTTCCCCCTGCAGCTCGCTCCTTCCCTAAGGAGCTGATGAAGTTCTTTCTCAACCAAATGGAGATGAGCAAGGAAGCCACCCGCGTGGGAACCCTCACCCTGATCAGGGCAGTGGTGGGCGCAGATGGTGAGCCAAGGGCAGGAAGGCGGGTGGGGGTCAGGAGAGATGGATTTCACCCATGTAAGGACCTATGTCACTTCCTCTTTTGTAGGCACCACTGGGTGGGCTAAGGAGCCAACGCTCTCAGTTGCTTCACGTTTTCTATCCTAGACCTTAATCAGACCCATCTTCCTCACCCCTAACCCTCTCCTTAAACTCTGATCCCAGCTTCCACCTGAGTCTGAATTTCAGACTGCTAATGTGAATTCTAGTACTAACCCCAAAGGTGAATAGAAAGCCTCATAAATCATATAGGTATATCCCTGAATCATCATTGACCCAATGCCCAACCTTAGTCTAAACCCCTGATTCTAAATCCTTATTATTTTTTTAAAATATATTTTATTGATTTTGTACAGAGAGGAAGGGAGAGAGATAGAGAGAAACATTGATGAGAGAGAGTCATCAATCAGCTGCCTCTTGCACACCCCCTTCTGGGGATATGCCCGCAACCAAGGTACATGCCCTTGACCGGAATCGAACCCGGGACCTTTCAGTCCCCAAGCCGACGCTCTATCCATTGAGCCAAACCGGTTTCAGCTGATTCTAAATCCTTAAACCCAAACACTGGCCTTGATATCAATAAGGGAAATACTGTCTCCCGCCAAGCACTAGCTCAGACCTCACCTATCGAACAATGTGCCCCCTGCTGGCAGCATGCAGTTCTGCAGGTACATGGTGAGAAGAGCCTGGGTGGCTTTTGCTCAGCCCTTGAACTGAGTGTCTTTGTGCAAGGCACAAACCTGGCAATTGTGTGCGGGACCTTCTGCTGATAGTGCGGGACCTTCTGCTTAAATTTACATTTCTTGACCTCTCTCTTCAAGAAATGCAAATTTAAGCACTCACAAGACCCTTTCTACCTATCCAGTGGGCAGAGATGATAATCACTAGATTGGCTTAGCTATTTTTCTGTAAAAGAGGATAGTGAAATTATTTTCGGGCCACATGGTCTCTGGAACAGTGGCTCAATCTGCCATTGCAGAGCAAAAGCAGTCATAGACTACAGAGCGTGGCTGTGTTACAATAAACCTTGATTTACAAAAGTCAGGTTTGGGCTGAATTTAGCCTATGGGCTACAGTTTGCTAATCTCTGGTCTAGACGAACAAGAAACCAGCTTCTTATACTTCTTTGACAGGGGTGTAAATGATAAAGAATTTTTGTATGCTCAATTGGATAGGGACCAAGACCTGGGCTCAACAGTCTAACGTTTTGTCAATTGTCTGAATGAAATAATTGCCCAAATGTTTATTGTAACATTGTGCAAGAGAAACAACTTAGTTTTTTTTTTTTTTTCAATAGGAAATTCTTGGAATGATAGTATAACCAAATAATGGAGTATCATATAGCCATTAAGGGTGTAGTCAATCTGTACTTTTGCGTGGAAAAGCTGCCCTTTATATGTTTAATGTAATAATACAGTATGAGACAGTATATATAGCATTACCTTAGTTATTTAAAAGAAATCTATATATTTATGTATAAATGGGTTTAAAAGGACCTAGTGTTGAATTGTAATTTTTTTAAAATATATTTTATTGATTTTGTACAGAGAGGAAGGGAGAGAGATAGAGAGTTAGAAACATCGATGAGAGAGAGTCATCAATCAGCTGCCTCTTGCACACCCCCTACTGGGGATATGCCCACAACCAAGGTACATGCCCTTGACCGGAATCGAACCCGGGGCACTTCAGTCCCCAAACCGACGCTCTATCCATTGATCCAAACCAGTCCCAGCATGAATTGTAATTTTTTAATTTTAATCTCGCAATGAACATTCAATATTTAAAAAAAATATTTTTACTTTTTTTAGAGAGGAAGGGTGGGGGAGAGAGAAAGAGAAACATTGATATGAGAACAGAACATCGATTGGCTGCCTCCTGCATGCCCCACTGGTGGTCCAGCCCCACAACCCAGCTATGTGCTCTGACCAGGAATTGAACCAGCAACCTTTCAATGCATAGGATGATATCCAACCATCTGAACCACCTTGGCCAGGGCAGCACTATTTTAATTTTTTTTATTTTATTAAAAATGGTTTTATTGGTTTAAGAAAGAGGAAAGGAGAGGGAGGTAAAGGTACAAACATCAATGATGAGAGAGAATTATTGATCGGCTGTCTCCAGCATGAACCCCACTGGGGACCAAGTCCACAACTCGGACATATGTTCTGATAGGGAATGGAACCATGACTTCCTGATTCATGGGTTGATGCTCTGAGCACACCGGTTGGGTGTGTACTATTATTTTTTTATTCTTCACTTAAGGATATGTTTTTACTAGAGAGAGAGAGAGACTGAGTGAGAGAGAGAGAGAGAAAGAGAGAGAGAGAGAGAGAGAGACATCAATTGGTTGCCTCACATACATGGCCCCACTGGGAATTAAAACTGCAATTTTATGGTGTATGAGACGATGCTCCAAGCAACTGAGCCACTTGGCCAGGGCAACATACACTATTTTTACAATCAGAAAGAAAAAAAAGTAACATTCTTCCTCAGTGCCTGATCACCTGTCTTCATTTCCTGTTTTTTTCTCCACCAACATGGAATTCCAGTAACACTTAGACTTGAACACCCAACCCTAATTCTGTCCACACGTTATCTCTCCAGAACCTTCTCATGGAGATGCTTTCTCACCTCCTTTAATCTTCCTCCTCCTTTAACTGTGTGCCCAGCTGAGGGGACTAAGAAGCTCTGAGGTGGAGACCCTACTTTCAGTGAGAGTCTGACTAGGTTCAAAAGAGGCTAAACTGGGCCTAGCTGGCGTGGCTCAGTGGTTGAGCATTGACCAGGGCCCTAAGAGATCACCAGTTTGATTCCCATTCAGGGCACATGCCTCCGTTGTGGGCTTGATCCCCACTGCAGGGCATACAGGAGGCAGCTGATCGATGTATCTCTCTCATTGATGTTTCTATCTATTCTCCCTTCCTTTCTCTCTAAACATCAGTTTTAAAAGAGAGAGTGAGTGGAAGAGAGAGAGAGAGAGAGAGAGAGAGAGAGAGAGAGAGAGAGAGAGAGAGAGAGAGAGAGAGAAAGTAGGGACTGAGGGAATGAGGCATAAACACATCGCCCTAGGATGGGCCAGTTTGGGGTGGGCCGGGCATTGGGAGGCTTCTGAGGGCAGCGCCCTTTAGCATGTGGTGGTGAGTTGGAGGCTCAGGAGGCTGTGACATGGACAAGCCACCTGATGCCTATCCAGGGAAGGTGAGCTTCTGCTGCTCTGGGCATCTCAGAGTCCAGCTCTGAGGCCATCGGCCCTCCAGGGTGGTTTTCCTCTTTCAGATCCCAAAATGAACATCAAGACCATCTGCCTGGCCATCCGAGTGGTCAAGAACACCATCTCTGACACCCGTTCCAAGGTAACAGGCCAGAGACCTGGACGGGGTGGTGCTCAGAAGTCCCTGCTGGGAAGCAAAGGGAAGTCAGCAGGAGCCTTCTCCCATCAGCAGCCCTTGGTTCCTCTCCAGCTCTGTGGGTGGAGGTGGGCTTCCTGAAGCAATGCCCTTCAATAGAAAACCTAGCTCCCAGCCAGCCCTGAGTAGGGCTGGAGGTGAATGAGGCCCATCAAAGCTGTGGCTCACTCTCTTCTCACTATCATTGCTGCCCACTGCGGTCTCAGACACACTTAGACAGAGGGCAGGCCAAGGGGACTCAGCTCGGGCCAGGAGTGTTGTAGGTCATTACTGCGTGTGAAAAAAGCAAACCAGGGATTTGCCCTTTCCCCTCCAAATAAGGGAGCCACTGCAGCCATGGCCACCTCGGAGTGTAGCTTTGATTCTGGCCTCAGACCCTGCGGGCTGCTGCCTGACCCCAGGGAGGAGAGGTCCAGAATGGGAGGGTCTGCAGAAATGAGAAGGGAATGGGGGATTTGGACTGGAGGTTCACGCAAAGCTGTCTTCAATCCTGTCTGGGGGAGAGAGAACAGGCTTGTTTGTGCTGGCCCACATGTGAGCCCCAGGGAGCCTCAGGTTGTCCCCTGAGGATGGAGCTGTCTACGTAAAAGGCAGTCACTCTATGTCTCTGAAAAGTCCAGGCGAGATTCTGGGGAGGACATGCTGCAGAGTGCATCCTCTGGATGAGGCAGGGGTAGTGAACAGAGTGGGTAGAGGCCAGGTGGCTCCTGAGACCCCTTACAGCCCAGAACACCCCAATTCTACTGTCTCATGTCATGGGATTGGTTGTTGGATGCCCAGCCTCTCACCCCGGAGCCCACCCCAACCTCCAGTGTGTCTGCCACCCTGTCCTCTCAGGTGAGGATGGCAATTCTCCGCATCATCGGCCAGTTGGCTCTGTCTGGCTTCCAGGAAAGGATCAAAGGCTGGGGCCTAAAGTACGTGTCCATTCAGCTGACCCTGTCCACCTACAAATTGGTGAGTGGTCCTGACATGCAGACCATGGAGCAGGTGGACTTTGGAAGTGGTTTCCAAAGTGTTGGAGAAGGAATGTACCTGAGCTTGAACTATATGCATAGACATCCTTAACACAGTATGCAGACCCAGTAAACTGTAGGTAAAGGTGGGTGCAGCTACACAGGGAGGAGTCTAGAAAACACAGAGAGGCATTCTGGGCTCAGGGCATCCTGGAGATTCAGTGTCTGGGCTTCAACCCCATGGAGGGTGAGGAGATCACACTGAAGCAAGAGCACAGCAAGCCCCTTGCCAGCCCTCAAGCGGGGGCCCCCTTGGTTCTGCATTCTAGACAAATCGCAGGGAGAGCTATCATCAGAGGGACCTGGAGGAAAAGATGGTCCACAAAGTCACCATGGACACCGTGAAGATCATAACCTCTGCTGTCAGTGGGATGACCAACGTGAGTGAGCCCCACCCACCTGTCCACTGGGCTGGCACACTGAAACTAATTGCTCGTGTCTGCATGGTGCCAGCTTGGGGAAATGGTGCATGTCCAGAGCTGTGCTGTTGCTTCTCCCATTCCCACTGCCTGTGATGCCTGGGGACACTGATTTTCCAATTGCCTGAGCTGTAATCCTTCAAGATCCAGTTCCAGAGCCAGGTGCTTGATGGGAACTTAGAGCCCACAGATGCTAGGGCAATGGCTAGCACACAAGTAAGCCTTAATATGTATCAGCTGACTTATTGCCCGAAATGTATTCCCAGAGACATGTAGTGAGGCTTAGGGGGACCAGCATTAGCTGGGGGTGTTCAATAATCATCCAAGGAGGGGGGAGATGGAAGGGTGAAGTTGGGGGGCTCCAAGAATCTGTATCAGTCAGCGTTCTCCAGAGAAACAGGACCATAGGAGATGCACACATACACGCAGTTTACTTCAAGGCATTGGTTTGTGCAATTATCGGGGCTGGCAAGCCTGAAGTTTGCAGGACAGGCCTGCAGGCTGGAAACTCAGATAGGAGCTGATGCTGCTGTCATGAGGCAGAATATCCTCTTCCTCATAGAAACTTAGTTTTTTTGCCCCTAAGACTCTCTAACTGATGGGATGAAGTCCACCCACCCTATCTCGGATAATCTCCTTTAAGGATTATAAAACCCATTCACAGTCACATCTAGAGTAGTGTTTGGTTGAATAACTGGGTACTCTTACCTAGTCATGTTGACACATAAATCTGACCATCACAGTAGGCAAGCTCAGCTGAGTCATCTGCCCAGTGTATACCTCTGTAGGACTTTGGGTCAGAGGGAGGGTGCTGGTTGAAGAGAGTGTAATGGTGTGGGGTTGGTGGAGGTCAGCAGGGGTGGGAGTTGGGCCCCCTAGGACTAGCTGGCTTCCTCTGCCATATTGGGGTGGGGAGGGAAGAGTGTCACTTGATGGCCCTGATAAAGACTGGAGTTGGCAGCAGAGCCAGCCAGGGTTGAGGATGTCAGTGGGTGGAAGTACAGTTTTGGGAAACTGAGGTGAGGCCCACACTATGGGGGAGCCTGACCCATCACCTCATGTGGCCATCTCCTCATTAGTCCCAGCTAATCCTGGCCCCCTCTTTCCACCAGGAGTTTTGGGTGAGGCTCTTGTGCTACATCATGGAAACCGATAACGTGGAGGTCTTGACCCCCATCTGCATCAGCCTCACAAACCTGGCAGAACGCCAGTTCCACATCATGGATGGGGAGGCCAACACGGCCAGCAAGAGCAGGCATGGTGGGCAGCAACCCTGAGCCAGCTAGTGGGATTGGGCAGGTCCCTTAAGTGAGACCCTCCATGTCTCTGAACACTTCCCCTCCTATAAGAAGCATCCCAGAGTCCAAACAGCCAGGCCAAAGGCCCGCCCTTGCCTCATTTGAGGATGTATTAACACTGGACAACTTCCTCTGGTGGCTCACTCTTTATGTCCCCATGACCCAGCCCAGACCCCACCCTTTTGAGGTCCTGGCTCAGCCTCTCCCCTCGTGTGACCTCTCTGAACTGCTGTGAGCCAGGTGGAGGAACTATAGATGTCCCAGCTCGTGCATTCTGTAAGTCACTCCACTGTGGTCCCCGTGACTGAGCACTGTGAACATAAGACTCAAAAAAGTGACTAGGCCCAGCTATGTGCAGGATGACACTGCTGTTTCCAGGGGGCTGCTGTCAGGGCCCAAGGGTTTGCTGATGGGCATGGCTGACAGGGAGGTGGTTTGAGGTGCCCTTTAGAATCCAGGGACAGCAAACAATGGAACCTGCTTTGAGCAACCAATGAGGCCACCCACTGAGGTCTTCCTCATGCCCCCCACTCCCAACTTGGCTCTCTCACTTGCAACTTCTCAGGAAGCTTGGTCCTCCCTTGCCCACTGGCCCAAGTGCTGTGTTTGTTTCTTACCAACTCATTGACTACCAGCACCTGTAGCTGTGGGGGTGGGGGGGGGGGGCAGGTGTCTGATCACTGTTGGCTCAATAGATACCAAGATTCACAGGAAGAGGCACACACTCTCATGGGAGACCCTGGTGTCCACCTCAAAGTGGGCTTCTCTTAAAAATAGCATCTTCTAAGCCCCAGCCCATAGCACAATTCTCCACTCTTGTCAGGATAAGCCAATTATCCAGGGTAAAGCCCCACCTTGGGGTCACAGGGGTGGGGCACATCCTGGTTTGGGCCAAGCACTCCAGCGGGGGTCGAATCTCCTTCTTCCTCAGTGGACCTGCCTGCACCGCAGAAGCTCCTGGCTCGTCTCCTGGTGAGTTGCTCGCCCAGGTTGTGCCCTGGCCTGGCTGAGGCCATGTCCTGTGTTACCTCTCCCTCCAGCTCCTAATTCCCAGCGTCCCCAGAAGGAGGAGGGAGCTGGACGCTTGGCACAACAGAGCTTTTCTGGTCCCTGCTGTCCCTCTGGTATATGTGTGCCAGGGATAGTGGACTCGGACCTGCTCTCAGATTGCTCTGCTCGGCCTTTGAGCATCTCAAAGCACCCCCAGGACAGTGGCTTGCCTGTCCCCGGGAGGCGGGCTCCATCTTGCACCTTTGTGTGGACTCCAGATGCTAATCCATGACCCAGGGGGTAGGGAAGGAGCTCACGATCTGGTGCCAGGTGTTCTTTGTGGGGAGTGAGGAGCTCAGGGCTGCCCAGACCATGGGCAGAGCCCCACTGGAGTCTTGGTTCCCTGCAGGTGCTGATGTCATCCCCCTACGAAGGGGAGGGGAGAGGAATAGCCATGCTCAACCTTCTGAGGACCCTGAGCCACAGCATTGCACCCTCCATGGCTGACATGTGGGAGCAGGAGATCCCACTGCTGATCAAGTACCTGGAAGGTGAAGTGCCCTCTCAGCGTGCAGACTGGGTACTAATTACGTGGCTTGCACACCGGAAGGCGAGGCTATGGTAGACCAGCGCAGCCTACTTTGGTCCTTGGTAAGGTGGGGAGGGAAATATAGCATGTGGTGAGCATGCCCCATTGGGGGCTTCGCAGGCCAGGCTAAGGAGGTGCCCCAGAAGGGAGCAGCAGAGAGTAGCATGTGTGATCCTTCTTTATGCAGAACATACTAAGTTTACCTGGAATCAGGAGACCTGGGAGGACAAGCTGATTCAGGTAAAGAGGTGACCCAGCCTGCTGAGGCTGGGGAGGATGGATGGGCAGACACGTGGTGGGGTTGGCATGTGGAGATTGCAGGAGTCCCTAAAGGACACACTCTCCTGTTAGAAGACTTGGGGAATACCAAGCATTCCACAGCAGTGTCTAGCCGCAGGGGAGAACAGGGGGCCTTACATTCTGTACTTAGGAATTCAAGTACTTAGGAATCAGCACAAGGGTGACACTCCTCCCACAATCTCACAAGCCACAGCTGTTCCCCGAACCCCCAGGCCCACAGAATGTTAGCACTGGATCAGGGCTTTATGGGTCCAGTGATTCACGGATTGGGGAGGGGGTTAGAAAAGGTGGGTCACTACTCAGTACCACACAGTCCTACTGGAGACTGCATACCCATGTCTTCTGCCTCCCCAGTTTCTGAGACTCTCCCTCAAGAAGACTCGGGGTTCCAACTGGAGCCTGCGTCTGGGCAAAGAGTTGAACAATCAGATCGAGAGCTTTGACAGCCCTTCCCTGGAGAAGGTTGGTCCTCACAGCAGCTGTGTGAGAGCAATTGTACCCATGGCTGTCTACAGGGTCTTGGAAAGAAAGAAGGGGGCTCAGACCTGTGTGGTTTTGTAATTTTTTTTTTTTGTGTGTGTGTGTGTGTGTGTGTGTGTGTGTGTGTGTTTTAAGAACCTGCTTGTTGAAGCTCTCATCCAGTCATCAGCTTCCCCATCCTTCTCACCTCATTCTCCACCTGAAGTTGTTTGATATCAGAATCCAACAGGCACAGATTGAAATGTCTGAACAGATTTTGGTAAATAGGGAAAGGGTGAGGATGACATAGAGCCACAGAAGGCTAAAGGAATCTCTAGGTTCTAGCTTAGCAGAAACGAAGATAAGGCCCAAATTAGCATGCAGAAATCATTATCTTCCTATTACAAAAACAAAAAATAACAAAAAACAAAAACAAACAAAACAAAAAAACAATACCATATAATGAAAACATAGTCAAAAGACCAGTGCAATGTAAAATGTATAATCAATATATCTTAAATAATAAAATATTAAATATGTGAGGAACACAAAATTGCCAGGAGAGGCAGGGATGCTGAAAGAAGCCCTAATTAAATAGATACCATCTCTTGCAGGTGCCACCTCTAATTAAATAGATACCACCTCTCAAATTAATATTGCAGATTAATTTGAGAAAAATGGACACCTTTACATTGAGACCCTATATTTAATAAATATATAATAAATAATATTTTATTATTTAAGATATATTGTAAATAGGGTCTCAATGTAAAGGTGTCCATTGTTCTCAAATTAATCTGCAATATAATTTACTCCCAGTCAAATTCCCAAAAGAAGTGCATGAATTTCATGCACTGGGCCTCTAGTCATAAATAAAATCAAAGGGAAATGAGAGATTGGAGAAACAGACCACTGAAAGTGATCTGTTGGGTTGAGTCTTCTGATTCACATTTGTTAAGAAATGAGCATAAGACTACGCTTGATTTTCAAATACTGGTTCTACCACTTCCTGCTTGCTTTCTCATCTCTAAATACTAATCATAGTTACCTTCTACAGTTGTATGGATTTCAAATATATACACCAAGTTCTTACAAATGAAAACAATATAGGAGAATAATTGAACTGGAAATGGGGAATGAATATAGATAGAAATTCAAAGAATGGACCTTGAAACTATGCAAAGGTGATCTATATGACCAATAAAGAAATAAATGAAAGTGGGAAAGTCCCACCTCTCACTGATAATGTCCTGTTGTGGGAGAGAATGTGGTAAAATGGGTCCTCTCGGATTAGTTGGTGGGAGTGTAAATTGTTTCAATTTGTATAGGAGAGAAATTTGGCCTCCACTATTTATAACATGCTAGTCCTTGTAGATACAATCCAACTGCCCCTGAACATTTATTTTATTTTGTTTTGTTTTTATTTATTTTTATTTAAAAAATATATAATTTATTGATTTTTTTATGAGAGGAAGGGAGAGCGAGAGAGAGTTAGAAACATCGACCAGCTGCCTCCAACACCCCCCCCCCCCACTGGGGATGTGCCCACAACCAATGTACAAGCCCCTGACCGGAATCGAACCTGGGACCCTTCAGTCTGCAGACCGACGCTCTATCCATTGAGCCAAACTGGTTTTGGCTGAACATTTATTTTAAAGACTCTACACTGAAGTTCCATTTGTCCTGTGACATCCTAGAGCTTCCTGTACCGGGCGTTGGGCTTCACTTTGGCCACAGGCCTGGAGGCCGACAAAGTGGAGGTGTTGCTGCTGGAGCTGCTGTACAAGACCGACTACAGCAAGGACTGTGACCGAGAGGTGAAGGCACCCTGCAGCCCCCTCCTATCTGCCAGAGCTCTCTGGACCTCCGGGGAATATGGTATATGCATACACACACGCATATGTGTGCATGTATGTGCATATGTGTACACGTGGTTGCACATATATATGCATTCATGCCTCTGTGTGTATACATATATGTGCATGAGTGTTTCTGTGTATACATGTGAGTACCCATGTGTGCATGTGTGTGCTTGTTTGTGTGTATACACGTATGTACACCCGTGTGTGTTCATGTGTGTACATGTGTATGGGGGGCTCTTCCTCTGCTCCCTGCCCATCCCCTCACCCCAGCTGACCTGGTCTCCCCACAGGGTGTGATTCTGTGCTTTGGCCTGTGCGCCCAGGGCCAGGTGAAGACTGTGCTGAGTGTGCTCCAGGACTTTGAGGAGAAGATTCATGAATCAGAGGAGTCCTGGCAGATTGGTGCTTGGCGGGTAAGGCTCCTTCTCTCTACAACCAGGTTTCTAGGAGCCTCTTAGAGCAACAGTGCTCTCAGCACCCAACCAAGGTTCTTGCCCAGTCACAATAAGAACACCCTTTTCTTGCCTGGCCAGTGTGGCTCAGTGGTTGAACATTGATCCATGGACCAAGAGGTCACAGGTTCGATTCCCCGTCAGGGCACATGCCAGGTTTCAGGCTCATCCCCAGTAGGGGGGCATGCAGGAGGCAGCGATTGATATTTCTCTTGAATAGATATTCTTTTTACACTCTCCTTTCCTTTCCTCCCAGAAAAAAAATAAATAAATAAAAACATTTTTTTTTAAAAAAGAACTCTCCCTCCATGTCTCCTATCCTCAAAATGACTACAATCTAGAGGCCTCCTGATAATTTAAAGAACGCAAGGTAGGCCTTTCCAGAACCCATTCTGAGCCTTTAGCTATTCATGATGAGGGTACCTGGGTGCAGGCTGGCAATGCAGGGTTCCAGGCCTCATCCAGACCCACTGGGTCTGAAAAAGTGAAGGTGCTTTACACATGTTGGGAGCTCTGCCTTAGTGAATCAATAGGGCTTGGATGGTGGTGGTATGGATGAGACAGTGAAGCTTGTCCAAAGGCATGCAGTTGGCCAGTGGTAAAGCCAGGCGCTGGACCCAAGCAGCCCCTAGCCAGCCTCTCCTCCAACTTCCTGCTCCAGGGCATGGTGCCAAGGCTGGCTGAGGCCCAGTGTGCAGTCATCTGGAGTCACTGATGCCTCAGGCTTTGGCCTTGACCTCCACCTTTGCCCTGGGGGTCTGGCTGTTTGGATGGAGAGTTTCTCAACCTGCTCCACAGAGCAGGAGCTGAGACCTGGGCTCAAGGGCCCCCAGCCTCATGTCCACGGAGGGTTTGGTAGTCTCCGACACCGCCTCTCAGGAGAGCAGAGCTGAAGCTGTTTGTTCCTGCTGGATCCCCAGCATCATGAGATCCCCTGGGCCAGAACAGGTGCCTGGCAGGTGGAGGGATGAGGGCATCCTCAGCCAGCCTCTGCTTAGGAGTGTCCACACAGCCAACTGCTCACTGCTAATGGGCAGTCTGACCTTGCTCTGACTTACTCACCACACTACACCCAGGACCCAGCATGTTGTAGGTGCTCAATATAAAAGTATTGAATGAACAAGTGTTTTAGGCACAGTTGGCTGACTTAATGGCTCTTTTGGTCTTGTAACCAGAGATGATCTGGGGCTGACCCTGCACGCTCCCAGCAGGGCAAGTTGAGCACATCACCACCGCTCAGCATGTCTTCTCCTTGTCGTTGGCCTTGCAGAAGGACCACCCCTGGAGGCGGGAGACAGTGAAGAGCGCTCTCATGGTGATGTACAGCTGTGTGGCCTTGCACTGCCATTGGCAGATGCTCCTCACTCATGTGGACACACCCATCACTGCCAAGATCATTCACCACTACACCAGCAGCTCCCAGGTAACCCAGGGAGACACAGACCCACAGTCAGTGCCCAGGAGATGCCCTCCTTTAGCCAGGTGGGCAGAATGTCACCCTGCATTCCTCTCTGGGTGGAGGTGTAACCAGGAGCAGGGCCCAGGCAGCCCACATGGAGACACCCAGGAGTCCTACATGACTCCCAGCACTTGGGAGGCCCATTGCCCCAGTCTGTACTATTTTTTTGCTGCAGGAGGATGTGGCATGTAGCCCCTCCTTCAAGTGCTGGGAGGGGTGAGTATGGGTCCTCAGAAGTCACAAGATGAGCGCCCCTTTCCTGTCTTTCTCCCTCCCTAGCCTCTGCCCTCCACCCCAGACAGCTGTCCATAGGCCTTTCATAAGGGACAAGATGTGAAGTTGTCTTCAGAAATGCAAAGGGGCTACTTTCTTCGAACAACAAGGAAGAGAAAACACAGAGAATGAAGCACACACTATTTTGTTATTATTTTAAAAATTGTAGTAAAATAGCCTTAACCTAAATGTCACCGTCATGACCCGTTAAGTAGCATTACATACATTCATCTAGTTGTGCAGCCATCACCACCATCCATCTCCAGCACCTTTGTCCTGAATAACTGAAACTCTGCACCCACTGAATGACTGCCCAGTCCCCTCCCCAGCCCCTGGCAGTCCCCGTTCCACTTCCTGTCTCTGAGTCTGACTGCTCCAGGTACCTCCAATGGGCCGAATCACCCAGTATTGGTCCTTTTGTGTCCGGCTTGTTTCACTTAGCATAAATGCCCTCAAGATTCATCCCTGTTGTAAAAGCAAAGAGGGTTTTATCTCAAATACTTATTTTGCTTCTCCCATGACACACAGGGCTTGGTGCCCCTGGTCAGTGAGTGTGCTCACTGACTGGCATTGCTTCCCTCAGGTACAGGTGTTGGGGGGTCTGGCCTACAGCCCCACCACGTGGCAGGTGCTCTGTCAGTGTCTCTAAGGGTGGTGGAAGGAGCAACTTTAGGTGGCTGCAGGGTCCAGGCACAAAGACTATGGCTGGGGATCCTTGGACTCACTCACAACACGCTTCTTCCATCCCTCTGTCTGGTCTGGGCACAGGACATCTGCCTCAAAATGGCCTTCATGAAGAGTGTGGTTCAGATCTCCAGTGCCATCGAAAACCTCAAGGGCCCAGGGGACTTTCAATTTGCCCACAAGGCTACTCTTACTGCCATTATAATGGTAAGCTGGGGGCCTGGGACCTGGGCAGCATGGAGTCTAACTCTGCAAGTACCTGAGGGCGTCTGTCTCAGTTCTGCTGTGATCCAGCTGTAGGGATTCTGAGATGAGAGTCTCATATCTGATAAAGGGTTTCATGGCCAGGAAACAGCCAGGCTCTATTTTCCCCCTCAGGATGGGGACACACAGGTCCACCAGGTCAGCCCCACTGTCGCCCCAGTATTTTTCCATACGTAGGACGGACCTATGGGCAGGTGTTGGCTGCAGGCAAAGCTTAAAACTATTTTTGCACAGAACTTTGGTAAGATCTAGAAAATGTCAGTCGCCCAAAGGCAAGAAGCGGTGACAGGTGCTGATGGAGGTTGTGGGACAGCCACTGCCCATGACCCCAGACCTTCCCACGCCCTGCAATGCCTCGGCCTCAGACACCGCTCCTGTCAGAAGCAGTTCAGGAGAGAAGTGAGATGTGGGTGGTACGGGAGGCACTGAGAAGGAAGGGAACTTGACTTTGGCTCTTGCCTGGACCAGGAGCCCTGCTCATGTCATTTTACACCAGTCACAGGACTGTGGAGTCCCCGTTTTACATGTAAGGGAACTCAGGCAGGGGAAGTAGTTTTCCCAAGGATACACTCAAGTAACGCAGACCTGGATGGGAATCACACGTCCATCGTGAGTCCCACACCTTTCACCAGATTTTGCCCTTCCCCAAAAATGGCAAAGACCAAGTGATCCTAAAATCATCAGGTCTTTCTGGCACTAACGCTGGGAGTACTGCCACCATGAGGACCCCTGGGATTTAAGGGCCCCATCTTTCTTGGTCTGGAACTCTGGGTGGCTTGGCAGCTCACTGCCCTGCTCTGCTGGCAGGCAATCATCAAGGCGGAGTCGACTGACAATCTGGTGTCTCCCATACGCACCATGGCCATGGATGCCCTCCTGCACCTGAGGTGAGCTGGCCCCCCTGCTCGTGCCCCAGGCACCTCTCCTGGGCAGATGCAAATCCTGAAACCATCCCTTGGCACTTGTTGGTGCAGGTCCACCTCCATAGCAGGGATCTTGGGTGACAGCTCCTGGGCAGTGGGCCACCTGGAAGATGGGAGTCTGCTCCCATTCCTCTTGTCCATAATTCTCAACAATATTTCAGGCTGTGCTCTTCTCCTTGGATGGGAGGTAACTGGCAGATAGGTAGGCTGTTCTTTGGTCCATTAGGAGATGTTTTGAGCAAAAGGTCACACGTGATCCTGAATAATCAGCAGAAAGATGGCCTCCACCCAGCTGGGTTGGATTCAGTCAAGGAAGTTACATATCAACATGGTATTAATACAGTTATACAAATAATATAAGTAAAAGAATACCTGAGGTGTGTCTTCGGGAACTATCTACCCACCAGTGGGGTGAGGAGTTGGGGGAGAGAAGCTATGTGTTTGTAAAATCTATATTTGAAGTGGTTGGGTCCTCTTTAGGAAATCTTCACCAGTTAGGAGTTTTATCATTTAAACTCATAGCAGAAATGCCTGTTGCCCCTTTTAGAGGCAACACATGGACATATTTGAAATCAATTTCACACACATCCCTTCAGGGACTTGGAGGTAAGGCAAACACATACACAAGGAATTAGAGGTCAGCGCTGAGTGTTTGCAGGTGAATAACAAAAAAAATCTAAGACCAGAAAAAGGGGGCTAATAGCAAGATTCAATTCGGTTGCTATAACAGGGGCTAGAAAAAGGAGCTGGCAAAAGGAGTTTACCTTTTGATCTGGGCTTAAGCTAAGTGAAATAAGCAAGTCAGAGAAAGGTGAGTATCATATGATCTCACTTATATGTGAAATCTAATGAACAAATTAAACAAATTAAACTGATGAACAAAATAGATCCAGAAACACTGAAGTATGTAAAAGACTTACCAATTTCAGAAAGGAGGGCAGGAAGAGATTAAGCAAAGAACTTAGATACATCCTATAAAATAAAGGCCTATATGCTAAGTGCTCACTCATCTGGTCATCCATTCAATCCAATCAAAGTGTAATATGCTAATGATATGGTAAGGTCACTCAACTGCTCCCTATGACGTGCTCTGACCACCATGGGGCAGACAGTCAATTTATTGACCAGTCACTATGACATGCACTGAGCAACAGGGGCCAGATGCTCCAACTGATAGGTTAGCTCGCTGCTGGGGTCTGGCTGATCAGGACTGAGCAAGACAGGCAAGACATGCTCTGAAGCCCTCCTGCAGTCCATCCCCAGCTGGCCAACCTCTCATGTCCCTCCCTGATCCCAATCGTGCACTGGTGGGGTTCCTTGGTCTGGCCTGCACCATCTCACAATCTGGGACCCTCAAGGGATGTTGGAGAGCCAATTTTGGCCGGATCTCACAGGCCAGGCCAAGGGATCCCTCTAGGCCTTTAGTATATGCATAATCCAAGGACAGACAATAGTGTGATGAGGGCCCATGGAGAGAGCGGGAGAGGGTTGGAGGAGGTCAAATGTGGGGGCACAGGGGACAACTGTAATACATTAAACAATAAAGATGCATTTAAAAACAAAGAAAGAATGGGCTAGATGCCTGAAGCAGCTATGTACAAACCTGGAGGGGTTATCAAAACACAGATGGCTGGGCCCTAATCCACAGAGTATTTGATTTAGTAGCTCTGAGGTGAGGCTATAGAATTGGCATCTATATATATAAAAGACAAGCGACCAGAATGATAGAATAACCGGAATGACTGCTAACTATACATGGATTGCAGAGGCCACTTGGCCTGATTGGGGCCCTGTTCAGCTTCCCCCAACCTCCCACAGGCCCTCCCCCTGGCTGGCCAGGTCCCCTATCTGCCTTCCCCACCCTGATCAGGGTCTGGGCTGGCTGGCCAACCTCCTGTGAGGTTGGGTCCCACTGCCGGCTCTGCCTGATGGCCCCTATTGGGGCAGCTGGCTGGCCTCCACCCATGCACAAATTCGTGAACCAGGCCTCTAGTTTCTAATAAACTCCAACGTGACCTACTGCTGCTAGTCTGAGCATTACACTTGACCCATGGGCTAGTACCAGCCTGGAATTCAGAGTTCATGGTTGTGTTCTAGGAGGAGCAATGGAATGTTTCTGAGCAGGGGATGGACAGGGTTAGAGCAGACTTCAAGTAGAAGAGGTGGCCTTGGACCCTTGGATCTGCCTCTCAATCCCTGACATAATTACTGGACACTGATGGCTGGGCAGAGCACAAACCCCTAGAGAGGATGCACACCTGAACCCCCAACCAGGAAACCTGGCGTCTCTCTTGATCTGTGACATGCCTCCACCTTAAGGGCCTGCAGGAGATGGTGCATGTGAGTTGTCTGGCAGAGGGCCAGGAGCCAGTGATGTCCACCCCTCCTGCCAGTGATGTCCACCCCTCCTAGTGGGATCTTAACCTGTTAACCGGGGAGTTCCCTTTTTAATTACGCAACGTATAACAGGTGCATACTCTTTCACTAGGACGTGTCAGTATGTCACGCCCAGTGGACGTAATTTCATATTATTATTTTTTTATTAATACTTAATTAAAATAAATGAAATATATATTTTCATTTATTTATATATAAAGCACAAAGGAAAATACAAAATTACAAACAAATAGAAAAGAATACCAACAAAAAATGGAAACATCGAATTAAAAAATTATAAATTTTACGAACAATTATAAAGATTACAAAAAATATATACTGTCTGTTTCAGGGTGCAACATATATTTCAAGGACGTATTCATATGTCCTCCTTGTTCCAGATATTGTTTACATTTGACGTATTTATTTATTTATTTTTAAAATATATTTTATTTATTTTTTTTCAGAGAGGAAGAGAGAAAGATAGAGAGCTAGAAATGTCGATGAGAGAGAAACATCGACCAGCTGCCTCCTGCACACCCCCTACCGGGGATGTGCCCGCAACCAAGGTACATGCCCTTGACCGGAATCGAACCCGGGACTTTTTAGTCAGCAGACCAGACCGACGCTCTACCACTAAGCCAAACTGGTTTCAGCCACATTTGACGTATTTATAAGTCCCGCTCGGTTAACAGGTTAAATTCCACTGAACACTTCTTCTCTCACTTTTTCTTTCCTTAGCAAAGTGAAGCCTTTCTACTCCACAGAGGAAAACACTGAGCTGATGGATATCAGTCTACATTCTGTAATTTCTCTCCAACCCCCAGGAAAGGACAATAAGTCCATTAAGGTAGGTTCCTCTGAGCCACCTCATTTTCTGGGTCGGGACCTGGAAGTTTACTTTATCACGACAGTGCTGAGAGCCCACCATCCTGAACCACCCATCTGTGGTTAGAGGCAGCAAAGTGCAGCAGGCTCTGTTTGTCAGTGTAAGGTGATGCTAACTGCTGTAACAGACAGACTCCAAAATCTCTGTGGTGTAACAACATGAGAACTTAGTTCAAATTGGCAGTGGGGGTGGGGATAGAACTGCTTCTATCTGTTATTCAGGAGCCATGTCTTCTTTAATGCCTGGTTCTGAAGGTCCACATGAGTATTGATATTTAGCAAGGAGAGGTAGAGAAAGAGTATAGAGCAGTGGACGGCAAACCGCGGCTCCCGACTCTGTTGACTAATGAGTTTGCCAATCACTGGTATAGAGGATTCATGAGCTACTTTGCCCACTTTTATTGGTCAGAACTCAGTCACATGGCTCCACTTAAATCTAAGGAGTGCTGGGAAATGTCCCAGACTGGATAGCTATTTTCCAGGAACATTGTTGGAAAAGAAGGACAAATCTTTTGTGGTCAGGTAGCCACCTGTGCCTCCTAGGCCTGGCCCTGGAAGAAGAGTCAGGAGAACTGGACTTCAGGAGTTCAGTTTCCTCCTTTGTGAAATGGGTTCCTCTTAAGAAGCTGACTTTTACACCGTGTGAGAAGACAAGTGTAAAGCACTCAATTTGAGTACAAGTAAAAGGGCTGATTATCTGATCATCTTACACTGTGCACCCTCCTCATTGCTGCCTGGCTTTTCCCTCTCTTGTCATAGACCCTGTACACGAATGCCCTGAGTGGCCTGGAGCAGCTGATGGAGGGCCTCTTGCAGAGGCAGATGGACCCCAAGGGCCTGCAGGAGATGGTGCATGTGAGTTGTCTGGCAGAGGACCAGGGATGGCCACCTCTCTGTGGGAAACAGGGGTATGAGTTAAACATTGTTTTGATAATTTTATTTAGATAAAAATTCAAATTTGCTGAAAAGTTGCAAATATAGTAAAAAGACTCTTGTATACCTTTCACTCAGATTTACAATTTTTAATATTTTGCCACATTTTTTCCCTTTCTTATTACACACACACACACACACACACACACACACACACATCTTTTAAATCATAGACAGTTGCAGAACAAGTTAAGAACAAGAATACTCTCTCTCTCTTTTTTTTTTAATCCTCACCTGAAGATTTTTTTTTTTTTTTTTTTTTTTTTGCTGATTTTGGAAAGAGGAAGAGAGAGAGAGAGAGAGAGAGAGAGAGAGAGAGAGAGAGAGAGAGAGAGAGAGACATTGATCCATTGCCTCCATCAATGCCCCAACTGGAAATTGAACCAACAACCTAGGTATGTGCCCTGACTGGTAATTGAACCCTTTTGATATACAGGATGGTGCTCCAACCAACTAAGCCACTCAGCTGGGGCAAGAATAGTCTCTTATATAACAACTAGAGACCCAGTGCACAAAATTCATGCACTCGGGAGGGGGGGGGCAGAGCCCTCAGTTTAGATTGTGAGAGGGTGCAGGCCAGGCCAAGCCACCCCACCAGTTGCACGATTGGGGTTGGAAAGAGATGTGGGAGGTTGGCCAGCTGGGGAGGGCTCCAGGGCATGTCCAGCCTGTCTTGCTCAGTCCTGATCAGCCAAACCCCAGTAGCAAGCCAACTTATTGGTCAGAGCATCTGTCTTCTGATGGTCAGTGCACATCAGTGTCCCCTGGTAGTCATAGTAACTGGTTGACCAGTCAACTGTCTCCCCCTGGTGGTCAGTGCACGTCATAGCAAGCGGTTGAGTGGCCTTAGTATATCATTAACATATTACATTTTGATTGCAACCAAATGGCCAACCAGATGACCAAATGCTTAGCATATTAGGCTTTTATTATATAGGTCACAAGAATAAAAAATCAAGAAATTTAGCATTAGTACAATGCTATATTCTAATCTATGGTCTATCGGCAGGCTTTACCAATTATTCCAATAATGCTTTTTATAGCAGCTATTTTCTACCAATCCAGGATCCAATCTGGACTATGCATTGCATTGAATTGTCATGTCTCTTTAGTCTCTTTCAGTCTGGAAAAATTCTTTAGTCTTTGCCTTTTATAATCTTGCCATTTTTGAAGGATAAAGGTAACTTTTTAAAAAATTAGGTTGTTTGCTTTCTTGATATTGAGTTTTTAGTTTTTATGTTTTCTAGATACAAGTCCTTTATTTGCTATGTAATTTGCAAATATTTTCTCTCAGTCTCTTATTTGTTTTTTTTTTGTTTTTTAAATAAATTACACAGTGTCTTTTGAAGAGAAGTTTCAAATTTTGATGAAGTCTAATTTATAATTTTTTTCCTCTTTTATAGATCCTGGTTTTAGTGTTATATCTAATAGTCTTTGTCTAACCCAAGATCACAAAGATTTTCTTCTAATACTGTATCGTTTTAGGTTTTACAATTAAGTCTATGGTATATTTTGAGTTAGCTTTTGTATATGGTGTAATGTATGGATCAAAGTTTATGCAATTTTTGTATTTTTGCACACAGATAACCAATTGTTCCAGCATCATTTGTTGAAAACACTATCTTTTCTCCATTGAGTTACTTTTGCACCTTTGTCAAAAATCATGTATGTGTGGCTCTAATTCTGAATGCTTATTCTGCTCCAATGATGTATTGTATTTGTCTATCTTTTCATTAGTGTCATCCTGTCTTGATTACTGTAATGTTACAGTAAGTCTTAAAATCTGATTGTGTGGGCCCAATGACTTTGTTCTTGGTTGCTATATCCCACAAACATTAATATGTCATGTTCTAACTTTATTTCAGTTCAATATACATTTTAATTTCTCTTTTCATCTTTTCTTTGACCCATGGATTATCTAGAAATTTTCAAATATTTGAGAATTTTTCAGATGTCATTCTGTTTTTGATTCCTACTTTAACTCCATTGTAGTCTGATGATATACTTTGTATGATTTGAATCCTTTTACATTGACTGGAAGTTATTTTGTTGTCTGGGTATGTCTGCCTTCAGCGAATGCCTTGTGTGCACTTGAAAACTATCCTGCTGTATTGGTCAGAGTGTTTCTAAACATGAATTAGGCCAAGTTGGTTGCTAGTGTTGTTGAAGTTTCCCGTATCCTTCCTGATTTTCTGTCTTCTTGTTCTATCAGTTACTGAGAAAGAGGTACTAAAACCTCTAACACTCTGGTTTATTTATTTCTCCTCTCAGTTCTATCCATTTTTGCTTCCAGAACTATTAAGCTCTGTTAGTAGATGCATGAATGCTTAGGTCCTGGAATGCAGGGCGGGCTGTGCTCCTGGCTCTTTCCCTGGCAGGCAAACATTTGGAGCAAGGTCCAACACACTAATTAGTCAAGAGCCCTCTCGGTGTGAGGATGCTGGGAGGCGGAGGAGGGCACTCTCTCTTCTTACAACCTCATCACCCTAGTAGTGGAGCCTGGGAAGGAACCATCTAGAAGCATTGAAAAGCAGATTCTGAGTAGGAGGGACAAGGTAGGTAATAGTTGGCCAGGAAAGGGCTGGCTCTGGGATTTTTAACACCCTCTTCTGTGTTATGGGTTCCATCTATAGCTCCTGGAAAAGTGGATCTTGTCCGAGAAAGATTGGGAGCGGGAGAAGGCTATGAACTTGCATCTTAGTCTTATGCAGAGCTACATCCAGAGCATCGGCGTCTGCGTGAGTACAGGAGCACCAGCCCCCGACCTGGTTCTGCTCCCTTCCCCCACAGAGTCCTGTGGGAAGAGGCTGCCTCACTTGGGAATGGCAATGAAACCCCTGGAAGGGCCAACCTGGGAGAGAATGGGCTACAGCTTGCAGTTGTCTAGGTTTTGTGGGTCCTGAAGCTCACACCATGGTGAGAACCCTTTCTGAGAAAAAGGATACACAATTATGAATACCACATTGGTTAGAAAAGTGCATGTTTACTTAAAATGAGAAAATAAGTTACTAAACATTACAAAGAATACAAAGCTTGGCAAGTACCACAAACACCTTGAAAAGCATTGAGATGTTTTCGTTGGTTACCCATCTGACACAGCTTGAGGAAACCTCTTCAGAACCCAGGGTCCTGAGGGTAGATACCCTGCCCCGGTCATACAGCTGGAAAAGGGGAAGCCCAAAATGAACTGAGGGCTCAGTTATAGGAATGAGATAGGTGCCTGGACATAGAGCCTGGGTCTGAGGTTGGCCAGACTCCTCAGATCCTGACTGCTTGATCTCCAGGAGCCCAGCTATGGGGCTCAGGAGGCAGGAATGTGGGCAGTAGACCGAATGTGGCATCTTCCCCCTTCCCAGACAGGGGTGGTGTTTTCAGAGCAGGGTTTGCCCTCTCTGCCTGCCCATTACCCTGCCCCTGGGAAGCACCAGGTACGTGTGAGGGGACAGAGTGTGAGCCTTAAGTTCTCCTGCTCCTCAGATCCCCCTGAAGCTGGGGCAGTTTGGCACACTGATTGGACTCATCGCCCCTTGCACCTGTGACTCCAACAAAAGAACTCGCTTGGCCTCAGCAGATGTCCTGTCCAGCCTGCTGGATCTGCATGGTATGTGGAGGGTGGGCCATCACAACCAGCATCTCCAGGCTCGGAGAAGGGCTGACATCAAGGTTGTCAGCTATGGGGGTGGGGGAGTGTTACAACCTCTCTGTATAGACAAATAAGGTTGACCAGCAGAGACAGCAGAGGGTGCAGAGCTCACGGAGAGGCCATGGAAGCTTCTGGAAAGAGAGGCTCATTGGTTCAGCATAACTCACAGCAGGCATGTGTTGGATACTGAGGACCCCACTGGCACAAGGCCAGCTCACAGATACCAAGGAGCCAGCAAAACTGGCCAGAGATGAGCTGAGGGGAGAATGCAGTGTGGTGACCTTCAGAAGAGGAGAGATCACCTCTGATGTGGTAGCTGATGGGCATCCATCATAGCAGGGACTGCCGGAGCTTGTGTAGAGATGGTGTGGGGAACAATGAGAGCAAAGTTATGCGGGACAGGGTGTCCAGATGCTGTGGTCCAGTCCCTCAGAGACAAGGTGCCCTGAGAGTCAGGACAAGCGGCCTCTGTGACTGGGCCTTCCAAGGCTAATGGTGTCTGAAACTACTCCCAACAGCAAGCCAGATCTGCTCTTCATGGGACGTGTACAAAGAGTTGGAGCTTGCGAGATGCAAGGAGGACCTCCAGAGCTTGGAGGTGGAGAAGATTTTCAGTGCCTCCTCCAGAATCGCCAAGGTGATGATCCAGGAAGCTTGTGTGGGTTGCTGGGCCACACTCCTAGTGCCTGGGTCACCTCTGGGGGCAGGATCTAGCTCAGCCTGGCCACACAGTGCCCATCCTCTTCTGGGAGTCACAGCTTCTGTGGCCTTTGGTCTAATTCATGCCACTGTAAATGGCCTACAATATGTAAGGTCTCCATGGGGGTTTCCTGGCTCACAGAAGGTGTTAATAGTCTCTGACTGTCTTCCCTTCATCCTTGTGATGTGCTACACTGAGGGTGGAGGGGGCCCCAGAAAGAACTGAACATGAGGCCCAGCACACAGGCCCTGGCTCATGGGAAGGCTGATGGCCTACTTGTGACTGAAAGTGCCCAGAGCCAGAGGGCAGAGGGGATTTCCTGGAGGAGGGGGCTTGTGTAGTGGCAGGCCAGATCGAAGGGCTTCAGGGCTCAGGGCACGCCTGAAAGAAGACTGCAAAGATAGGTCAGGGAAGGTTTGGGGTAAAGCTTCCTGTGGTGACAGGTGGGGCAGGGAACTGAGCCTGGGCCTCAGCTATCAGAATCCAAGAATGGCCTTCTCTGGTCCTAGGAGATTTGCATGCAATTTAATTGTGATGAAGTGGTCTCGCTCATCCAGAAGCTCTGTGAGAACATCGGGGCCATGGACCTCCAGCATGACAAGGCCTCTGTCATCTGGATAGACACCTTCCTCCAGATACGGGTCAAGGAGTTGGAGGATAAGGTACAACTGTGGCTGGGGCACCTGGGGCTGGGACGGCAAAGTGCTTCCAGGCTGCAGGGACTGGCTGGGGCCCAGCTGCACTGGCTGACAATGCCCACCCCCCATAGCTCCTTGCTGTAAAGAGGAGGAGGAAATAGAGTTCTAGAATGAGAAAGAAAGGTGTTGAAGGTAGACAGGTCAGTAAGTGGACATTGGACTTAGGCCCACAACTCTCTCTCAGAGCGTTCTGCCTCTCACACCGAACACTAATAAAATCCGAGGAAAATGCCAAAACCGGTTTGGCTCGGTGGATAGAGCGTCAGCCTGTGAACTGAAAGGTCCCCGGTTTGTTTACGGTCAAGGGCGTGTACCTTGGTTGCAGGCACATCCCCAGAAGGGGGTGTGCAGGAGGTGGCTGATCAATGTTTCTCTCTCATCGATGTTTCTGACTCTCTATTCCTCTCTTCTTTTCTGTAAAAAAAAATCAATAAACTATATTTAAAATAAAATCTGGGGAAAGACCAAAGGATTTATTGGAGGTGTGCTGGAGGTCTAACTTAGCCACTGTTGTGTGAAAGTCTTTGGAGGAGGGGTGTGAGGGCAAGAGACCCCTGAGGGCCAAGTTGCCCTGGTGATGCCCACCCCCACCCTAGGTGGCTGAGATCCTGGGTGCCATCTTGGTCCACCTGCCTGTGGTGGATCACAAGGAGGTGCGGCGCAACCTCATCGAGGGCATTCTCCTGCTGGCCCACTACCACCAGGAGACGGTCCTCACGTCGCTCCTGAGGCAGCCCCTGCCCATGCAGAGGTAGGTGGTGGGTACCCTGTGTGGGGGACCAGGGGCTTCTGTGCAGCCCAGACCATGACGTACTTACCAGAGGACCGGGACCTTGAGTGGTGCGTTGTCTGACCCTCTCCCAGCATCTCCTGTTGGGGAACTATGGGCACAGCTTTGTGAATCCCAGCAGGCAGTTTTCGCATCTCCTTGTTCAATTTGATCTTGTTGGACTTGTCTCTTTGGCTCTTCAAAACCCACTAGGACCTTACCTCCCTGTGTAACCAGGTCCTTCAAGTCACTGTGCAGGGGTCCCTTCCCTTCTCAGCAGGGCCACAGGCTTGGACTTGGGGGCCAGGAAAGCTGCTTCAGATTGTAGCCCCTCCTGTGGAAACTGGAGATGAAGCCTCTTCCTCAAAGATGTGCTGGGAGGGGGAGGGGCGAGGACACTGGTCAGCCAGCCGCCCAGGACCATCCTGACTCAAGCCAGGCACTTGGAGGCTATTACTGGATGTCATCCAGAGGTCATCAAAAGTAGACCTGGTGGTCACCTACCCCTGGAGCGTAGCTTCTCAGGGGTACCATGAGCCGGGCACAGAAAGGAGGCTGAGTGAGGAGTCGGGGACCTGGGCTCACGCCAGCTCCCTGAGATGCAGCCTCCAGAGTCCGTCCACTCACTACTCAGGGGGCTGCTGGGGTCCAAAGAGGCTCATATCTGCTGGGGCACAGGGCAGGTAACCCACAATCCTTGTCCCCTGTCGTTGGCTAGCCACCTGGTGGAGGTGTGGTTGGCTGTGGCGGAGAATGTACCTTTTGCCCGGTTGATGCTCCACGGCCTGATGGGCCGGCTGCAGTCCCGGTTCACCCCCAGGGCCAACGCCACCTCCAAGGCCGACATCTGGCGCCTGGCTGCGGTAGACCCTCTGATGGTGAGTTGCCGGGGTAGGCCCCGGGGCTCCTCAGGGGCACTGAGTCGGAGCCCCGATGCCTCCTGCCCTTCTCTCTGCAGACCCTCTGCACCATCCACCTTCTCATCGAGAAGATGGACAGGGACGACAAACTCCCGGACCTCCTCCCGGACCTCATCTACACCCTCCTGATACAGCTGGGCAGCAGCCAGGGGCCGGAGGCAATGTCGCCCGTCCTGAAGACGTGGAGACTCATCCACACGGGGACCCTGCCCGAGGAGATCAACCTGCAGAGGTGCTCCCGAGGGCAGGCAGCGGGCTTGGGGTACACGTGACCTTGGCCTGTCTCTTAGAAGTCACCTCCACCGAGAGGCCCTCAACAGGACCTCCTATGGGGAGGAGAGGTTTCTGGAACATGATCTTACAACACTCCCTCACTAGGGTCCAGCACAGTGTGGCTTTCAGAGTCTGCACACCCAGTCTTCGCCCCTTGAGCTAGGCACAGCAGGAGTTGGGATGCTGCTTCACCCGCCTGGGTGCAGTGCTTGCCCCGCTGAGGTGCTCTGGGTATTCTCAGCAAGGCTGCCACACCATGACATGGTCCCACCTTCTTCCAGGATCACAATCAAATCCATGCAGCTTTTGTTCAGGAGACTCGACAGTGAGCGGCTGGCCCACATGCTGGAAGAGCAGGGCGTGTGGGCCCTCCTGGAGAGTGGCTCCACTTTCCTGCAAGGAGCAGGCCTGCTGGCCAGGTGGGCACCCAGGTGGCCGGCGGCGGCGGCAGGACTTGCAAAGTGATGGCGGAATGCCTTGCTTCAGGGGCATCGTGTTGACCTGTGCCCCACACTTTGGGATGCAGGGCAAAGGGAATCTTTCTTTCCAAACCTTCAAACCCTGGGGCAGGAAATGTGAGGTCAGATCGGTGGAGCTTGGCAAGGCCACACTGGGCTTCTGAGCAGGTCCAGGATGGGGAAGTCCAGGTCCCGATAACTCATGGGCAGCCCTCATTCAAGTCCTTTTTATAAAAAGGTGATGAAAAGAAAGTACTTCAGTGGAGAGGAGGGCGAGGCCAGAGATGTTAGATCTGCCTATGAGTTAGATCTGGCCCGTGTTCACCTCTTAGAGGCCAGAGATGTTAGATCTGCCCTTGAGAGCTGCTCTGCACGGGGGGAGCTGAGATGCCCTCCCTGCCCGGTGGGCTGTGCTCCCCTCCACAGGCTGTGCATTCGGAATGCAGAGGGCTACAGGCAGAGGCTGGCGGAGCTGGTGCTCAGAGGCATGGCCTCGGAGGTCCTCAGCTGCCGTGTCAGCAGCACGGCGATCTGCGTGGAAGTGAGGCACAGGGGTGGGTGTGGTGGGCTGGGGAGGAGAGGGGGGCAACCCCCAGCTCTCTTGGGGGGGGGGTTCATCTCAGGGGCAGGTGCTCAGGCTATGAGGGGCATCTAGTCCAGGGGGCAGGTGAGCATTCACTCATTCCTTCGTTCATCACAACAGTAATTCAGGGTGGGCACTGTGGGGAAAGGGGCCGAGACGTGGTCTTTGCCCTGAGTGTAGCAGCTGAGTGATGTGTGATATGGTGAGTGTCACAACACACAGGTGTCCAGAGGAGGCCACCTTGGGCTCTTGGGGAGATGGAAGTGCTGGGGAGGGTCTTGCAGGAGGGCTTACCAGGCTGGAAGATTGGAGCAAGGGGTTATGGCCATTGAGGCCCAGCTACCCTTTCATGCACATGAGGTACTAATGTGGTTACCCCTACTGAGAGGCCCTTGTTGTCCCTTCCTGGTAGGACAACAAGTTTCTGAAATTTGATCCAGGGAATTGGCCAGAAAACTTTGAGGAGAAATTCTATGGGCTGCATGCTGCTCCATATACCACAGGAACCAAACATCGGCCTAGTGGGGGGTCCCCAGACTTTTCCTGTAAAGGGCCAGGCAGAGAATTTTCAATTTTAGTGTCACCAATTTGGTATTTAGTTTTCCTTTGGTTTATTTAAAAAACATTCATGTGTGTACGTGCACACACAGACACACGCATGCACACATGTACACACACGTCACAGGGGTCCCCGCGGGGTTGATGTCCTGGTATTTTGAGAACTAGGCTGATGGTGGCGCTGAATCCCAGATGAGGGAAATGCATGCTTCTCGCGTGGTTCTGAAAGACGAAGGAGTGTGTGAATATGGGTAACACTTCCCCAGCGTTTCCCACCTATTTCCTTACTGAATCCTCATGGCAACCTCACGAGGCAGGTGCTGGTCTCACCATCTTTTTACAGATGAGGAAGCAGAGTGGCCTGCCAGGGCCCCACAGTGGCAGGCGGAGGAGCCAGGAGCGGATTCCAGGGGTTCAGGCTCTGACTCTCCTCCGATCTACAGGGAGACCATTCTGTGCACTGCATATAGCCACACGCCCCGCCTCTTGACAGAAACTAGCCTCTGTTGGGGATGACTGCAAAAAGTTTTCCTTTCTAGTTCATGAGAGACCCGATTCTGTACCAGGAGAGGCTGCTGAAGCCCGCCCTGCGGCTGCTAGAGAAGGGCGTGGACCAGAGGGACGAGGTCCTGCAGGTGCTGTCCCTGCGTGCCCTCGGCAACATGGCCCTGGGCGCCCCCAAGAAGGTGCTGCAACCGACCTTGACCCGGGGGGGCCTAGGGGCAGAACCCAGTGTGCTGAGGATCAGAGCTGAAGGCTCCCTCCTCCTCTATCCCCCTCCCCCAGGTGAAGCAGTACCGCAAGTTGCTCCTGGAGAAGTGTCTATATGCCCTGAGGGATGCCCACGGCACCAGCGTGCCCTCTGAGGGCATGGAGGCCCTGGCCAAGATCCTGGCCGAGCTCCGGGAAGGGGATGTAGGGTCCTTCTTCGATGCCATCTCTGAGCAGTGCAGGTCCTTCTTTGACAACGTGAGTCCAGACGAGGGCCTTGCTGGGCCCAGGCCCTGGGTGGGGGCTGCGCAGGTGTCCTGGAGCAGAAAGGACAGTGGGTCTCACTTGGCGCTAATGGATTGATTGGCTGAGCGTGGAATCGTGTAAAAAAAAAAATTGTTCTGGGGCCCAGGGGACCCTTCTCCCTGCTATTAAGGAAATGAGCTTTCCCTTCCAATTCCTGGCTGCCCACAAATGCTCTTGGGGCACCTGTGACATGTCGGGAGGGGGTGCTGCTAGGCAGTTTTGTGCCTGCAGATTCAACACAGCGAAGGTCTCAAACACCTGAGTTATGCCCAGTCCTGGAGCCCTGGAGGGGAGACTCCGTCCTGATGGAATGACCCAGAAGGCTTCACAGGGGTCAATGAATCCAAAAGGGTTTGTGGAGAATGGCTGCAGTTTCGTTGGGCTTCTGTTTCCCCGAGTTTCAGGACTGCTTTGTCCATCTTGGCCACAGGAGAGCGAGCTGCTGCGCTGGAAAGCCTTCCTCCTGTTCAGCAAGCTGGCCACGGTGGCCAGGGTTTCCAAGAAGCACTTCTTCAAGGGGGAAGTGAAGAGAGCCTGGGTCCCGCTCATGCTGCACTGCCAGGACCCCTGCCCCGACGCAGCCCAGGTAAGGCCCCCTCGGCTTTGCTTTCCAAAGTCTGTCCCCAAGAGGAAAGTGTTTTCTGGGTTTGCTGGCTGAGCTGCCTGCAGGCTCCCCACTAGAGAGCCCAGAAACCACATTCAAGGCGCCCCACAAACCAGTTTTCTGTGGGGGCTGAGTTTCCTTCTTCCCCAGTCACTTCCACCTATTGCCCTTTCTTCTACCAGATTCACTTTGGGTGAATATTATGGCTCAGGCACGTTTAAAATTCACCTGAAACCTCACCTGCTCCCTGCGGGGCAGGCTTGTGAGGTGAGGGTGGGGGCTCTCCCTGGCTCTGTGACCCTGTTTCTCTTCCCACTCCAAGTCCCAGCTCCTGTAATGCTTTGGGAGGGGGGAGGGGAGGGGGAAGACCCCGTCTCCTACTCAAACTGCTGCCTTGCAGGCTAACACTGGCTGGCTGGGACACGCAGGTAGAGAACCTCTCACTGCACACATGGACCTTGACTCTGTCCTCTGTCTTCCTATAAAAGGGGAGGTGGTAGAGAGGTGGCTGAGTTCAGGGGCCATTCTGCAAAAAACAGGTGACAAAGACAGTTGTGGGGATAGAGCTGGCTGCAAACAAGGGGTCCTCAACAGCTCATTTTAAAGCTAGTACCTTAGTTCCCAGTTCTGGGGTCACAAGGTAAGTCCCTAAATCCTGCTGCTGCGAGGGCTGCCAATTTGCCTGTGGGGTGAGAGTGGTCCGGATGGCACCTACAGGGACAGGAAGGGAGATCTGCAGTGCCCTCCTGACTTGGGACTTAGCCCCCATCCTGCCTCCCTGCCTGATCTCTGCCTTGGGCACCCTGGTGACCCAGGGCACAGAGCATCACCTCTTAGAGACTCTTTTCTTCACTGATCCTCACCTTCCTCTACCGAGGGCTCCCACTGTTATTTCACATCTTCTCAGCAACTATCCTGTGGCTGGTGCTTCAGGGAAGGCAAAGCAGACAAGTGACTGAGGGGCTTTAAGGAAGGAGCCTCCGAGGACAGGCCAGGGGACCAGCATGGACGGGAAGTGCCAGAGGCTAGCCCCGGCGGTGCGGCTGCCACTGCCATCCCTGGGCAATGGATGCTGGCCTCTCTCCCCCTGCCCTCTGTCTCCCGTCAGCATCCTCCTATGACCTAACCCAGCAGAGGCCAGAGCCTGCGGGTCTGGCTGATGCAGTCCTCAGAAGCAGGAAGAGCTAGTGCAGGCATCTGGGGGAATGAGAGGGCTTGTCCCCATCCTCCCAACCCCAGCCAGGCCCCCAACCCAGTCTCCTAAAAGGGCAGGCCCCAGACAGGGCTGCTGAGGGCATGAAGGTGCTGGCTCAGGGGGCAAGTGGGTAGCATTAGCCCCCAAGGGGCTTTTTATAAACGCGCACACAGCGTTACCCAGGCTGGCGGGGGCTCTGGTCCCAGGTGCCCTCCCAGGGCTCACCGGCCCACCCTTTGGCTTCCTGAGGCTTTTCCAGGGGCACCCTCTGGCTATATTGATGGAATGCAGCCTGACCAGCCCCACCGCTCCTGTGAAGCCCTCTGTCCACCTGCCATCCTGCTCTGTGTCCCTCCAGGCCTGTGCGGAGACCATGTATCAGTGTGTGCACTTCTGGGGCTGCAAGGGCCTGGTGGACGCCTCGAGGCAAAGAGACACCATGGAGCCTGATGAGATGGCCAATTTCCAGACAACTCTGTGCTCCGTCCTGGTGAGGAGGCTGAGGGGGTTGGGGGTGAGGGCCTCACCTGCTGGCAGTGGCTGCTTAGTAGCTTAGGGTCTTAACTGCCAGTCTACCTTGAGACCCTGTGTTCACCTCTTAGAGGTGAAGTGTCGAGACCAGCACTGTCCAGCAGAAATGAAAGCAAGCCACATGCCCATTTTTAAGTTTCCCAATAGCTATGTTAAGAAAAAGGGAAAGACAATAGGGTGGTGAAGGCCCAGGGTGGGGGCAGGGGTAGGCTGGATGGGGTCATTGAGGGGGGGAGGGGGAAGGACATATGTAATACTTTCAATAATAAAGATTAAAAAAAAAGGGGGGGGGGAGGTGTAACCAAGCTAATCATAGATTTTATTTAACCCAATAGCTCCAAGTCTTTATTATTTCAACATGTAATCAAAATTATTAATTCAGGCTAGCCATTTTCAAGTGCTTAAGGGCCACACATGGCAAGTGGCAACTGTATCGGACAGCATGGGTTTTAGATGAATATAATGTCTTCCCTGGGCCAGACTAGAGTGTGATGGGGATGAAGGTTGCCGAGCTTCCAATTTGCAGGGTGACCCTGGAGTCACTCCTCTCTTGGCAGATCCTCCTGCACCAGAAAGACAGCAATTCCCATCCGGGTCCGCAACCTCCCCAGCTCTGTGTATCACTTGTTTTTTGCAGACTCAGAAAAAGCCTGCTATCCTCTACAGTTTCTTGCTAGAAACAATGAGCTACATTAAAAGTAACTTGTCGAGGATCAGAATCGCTTCCTGCAACTTGGCAGGTGAGAGGGCAGATGTCTCCTGATGCAGGAGGGACCATGGGGTCAGGTGTTGGGTCCAGAGCTCCTGCCCCACCTTGCTGCCTTAACTGCCTGATTCTCAGTTAGGTGTCCTCAACTAACTCCTCAGACACCTGGTAAGGTAAATGCAGATCTGTCACTCACTAATACCTGTGTGATGAGCATTTCTCGGGCTATCACTCAGGGGTTATTATGAAGCAGATGTCTGAACATTATCTGAAAAAGCTGGACTTCGTGGCATTACGGAATTGTAAGTCGTGGAGACTCAAATGCACGCGGGGAGCTTAGTGAAGTGCTGAGGGGGCAGCCTGCTGACCCTTAGTTGTGGGTTTTGGGGCGTTGGGGGTTGTTACCAGGCACAAAGAGATGGATGGCCCAGTGGAGGGCTTTCCAAGGAAGACAACTCATTGTGAGCTGGTGGTGGGAGGAGGAGGGGGCGCAGTTGTTCTGGGCTTCTGCCCCACTCCCGTTCACAAACATTAGTAAAATGCTTCTGCCCTGATTCTGTCCTCTGGACAAAATACAGTCCTCTGGACCTATCTAATCCTCTGGGGATCCCTCTGTCTGTTAGAGAAGGGAAGCCCTGAGAGATGGCTGATGTGTGTGAAGACCCAGCTCCACCTGCCGCATCCTGACTTCAAACACAGGCGTTCGTGTCTGCAGCCATGACAGTCAGGCCCTGGGCCTGTGGGCAGGTGCAGAGGGTGGGGGGCGCGGCCCAGCTGCCAGGTCCTGACCCTCCCGTTTGTGGTCTCAGCCCTCCAGGAGCTACAGTTGGATGCAGATCCCGGGGTCCAGAGGGCAGCCTTGGAGACTCTCAAAATCTTGGATACCTGCAGTCAGCACCGGCTTTTGGCTTCACCCAAAGGAATCTCCTAGGTGGCCCGAATGTAAATGCAAACTGCCCGCCCCGCCCATAGCCATGCAGACCACTGATTTAGTTTGTAAGGAAAGCATTGTTCTGAGATAATCAGTGTCCCCTTCTTTCCACTGAAATAAACCTCCATTGCCACGTGGAGTGCAGACTCTTGGCTGTAAGGTGCCGATGTCCCAGAGTCAGGACAGTGGGGCAAACGGAGGGGTCATTGTTTCTAGCAAGAAGCGCTAGAGAACAGCAGCCCAAAGCACCAGAGTCTACGTTGGTCTTCACTGGCATTTAGGTCCCATCCATGCTGATGGTGTCCACTGCTCATGGCTGTGTCAGGCAGAGAGCCAGGTTACTGTGCAGGCCTTGCCCAGGGCCCCCTCTTAAAGGGAAAGGAGGCATCTACAAGCCAAATGTGACACACATTAGAGCAGCGGTTGCCAACATTTCGGACCACCGGTGGTCTGCCGACCACCAGCTGACAACTGCTGCTCCAAAGGTTTCTTAAACCAGTGGTCACCAACCTTTCGGACCTCACGGACCACCGGTTGGCGACTGCTGATTAGAGGGCACCATCTGTACAGTTCACGGGTCTGCTATTGGCAGAGCTGTAAGTTGGCTGAGATGCAAGCCCAGTCCCTTCTGCCTCACCTTCCTCTGCTAGATAACAGGACATCAAACCCTGAATTTCTAGGCTCTCTGGCAGCAAGGCCTGGCCAGAAACCTCAGCACAGGACCGCTGGGTAACTGGCTGGGGTGAGCCAAGGCACCAGCAGTTTGGGGCAAGAATGATAGTTTTCCTGATAAGGAAGAAAGGTCTGGAACTGCAGGGGCCACTCCAGCCTTGGCTGAGCCACGGTCAGCAGCCTGCTGCTAGTCCTCCTTACTGATTCACAGGGCTTTGGACTGAACATGTCTCCCCAAGTTCACACATGGAAACCCTAATCTCAGTGCGAGGGCCCTGAGATGGGGCCTTGATGCTGGGATTAGTGCCTTTATGACAGCGCCCACTCTGTCTTGTGAGCACACAGTGAGGAGGTGCCGTCTGCAATCCAGGAAGTTCTCATTGGCGCCCATGCTGGCACCTGGACCTCTGACGCCCAGCCTGAGAACGGGGGAATAAGTTCCTGTTGTTTAAACCACCCAGTCTGTAGTATTTTGTGATGTGGCCTGAGCTAACACACATAGGTCATGAGCTCCCAGGTGGGGGGAAAGGGGACACATTATTATGAGGACAGTGACAGTCTTGGGAAGGGAAGACATCCAATCTTATTTGTAATATTTTATTTAAAATAAGAAATCCATAGCACATGGCAGCATAACAATTACTCAACCTGGGTTTGGTCACTCTATTCTGAATATCTGAAATATTTTATGAACGAAGACATTCTATTATCCACAGCTCCGATAAGAGCCGATGTCACGGTTACCATGTGGCTGCAAGAGTGCTTGGGGAACATTACAAGAATGCTCCAATACAGCATGCTGTCCTCTAAAAACATAGGAAATGACTTTGGATGGGTGAATTGTGTTTCAATTTGCTACCTCCTGATGTGGAAGTTGCCAAGTCCCATGGGTCTGAATTTAAAAAACTAAGCAGCTAAATTTTTCCTTCAGAGATCATTGTATCCAAGGGCTTAAACTTATATTTCAAAGCAAACAATTTCTCCCAGGAAATGGGAAATATAAGAGAGAATTCTGTTGGTATATCTAAAGTTAGCAAAGAAAACATGAACAAAATAGCCCAAAAAGGATACCATTAATATTTTTAATTGAGTAACCTTATTCCAATAATTTCTATACCAAGAATCTGTCAGTCATGTCAATGAAACCAATTTCATTGAAATCTGCTTTGAAAGGGAGATAACTGAAGCAATTTCTAAGTCTTGAGAATTAAAAAAAACCCTCGCGCACATATGTACACACAAACAGAATAAGGGGACAGTGGGACAATGCCCTAAAAAACTTGATTGTAGATTTTAGCTTTGAGTTTTCTAACACAAAATCACTTATCTTCCATCCTGAAAGTGTGCTCTTTCCTCTAGAAAAAGAAAAAAAGACAAAACAATCTCAGTAAAATTCCACTGGCATTCCCAAAGCCAGTCACTAAAAGCTTAACTGTTATTTATTTCAATGTCTATATATATATATATATATATATATATATATATATATACACACACACACACACACACACACACACACACACACACACACATATATATATATATATATATATATATATAAATATTAGTGTCTACTATAGAAATGCCACCATGCTCAATAAATACCCTAAGGCAGTGGTCACCAACCAGTGGTTTGCTGACCACTGGTGGTCCATGAGGTCTGAAAGATTGGTGATCACTGCTCTAAGGAATACAAAGGAAAAAAAAAAAAAAAACAACCTCCGGTGAGAAGAAAAACAAAAACAAAAACAAAAAACAACCTCCCCAAAACAACAACAAAAACTAACATTAAGCCCTCAGGCGGCAATGCGAACAGGTGTGGCTAAGTTGCCAGGCTTGCTGTCAAATGCTGGTCCCACAGTTAAAAGACTGAAGCTGAATCGCCTTATTTACTAACAGGAAAGACAGACCTATCTAATCAAAAGGTTCGTGGGAGATTGAGAAAGGCATAAAAAGGTTCGACGTGGCCTGGTGAACAGAAAGCCAGGTGTCAGCCATTAAAATTCCTTCTGTAGCCTCAGCTCGCGGAGATTTGGTCCTTTTCCTCAAGAAATTTGTAATTTAGGGAAAGAAGAAAAAGAAGGAAAATCATTAAATAGGTTTATATTGTGGTTTTAGATGAAACTGCAAAGGCCCCAGTGGAGCTTATCAAATTCCAAAGGAACCAGGAGTGTCCCCGGGACCACCATGGCCGAGTTCTCCTCTTAGTCCTCTATGTCCAGGCACACGTGGCTACTAGGCTGAGCCAGTGAAAAACTGAGGGGACACTGCACTGAGCAACCAGATGATGGAGCAGAGGCAGGAGTGACCTGCCACACTCCCGGGGCCAATTAGTAAGTAGGCAGCTTAATAGGTGAGGTGTGAGCAAACCAGGGAACATGAGGGGAAAAGCACATAAAAGGAAAAAGACAAGGAGGGAAGCTGTGTGAGGAAAAGGTTTAGGTTCAAACAAATGGGGACAGGGGGAAAAGGGGGCTGATGTGTCAGGGACTAGAAGCCTCAGAGACAGCCCCGGGGCTGAGGAGTCATCTTTGGTGAAATGTACCTTTTCAACCAAGAAACAAGGTGATGGTGATGTGTGGTGATCTGTGAGAGCAAAGGGAGTTTTTTTTAATTAACCTTTAGCTAAGTGGTCTGCACAAACTACACTGCAGGAGGCGGGTGGGCACTGAGATTATTGGCTGCCCTCTTGCAGCCCAGCACATGTGCAATTCTGCACTGGTGGCTCTCAAGGGCCTGCTCCTATTCCGTCCCTGTTAGGAAATCCAGAAGTAAAACGCCATGGTTTCCAGGCCAGTTTCTCCTTACAACAGCTCTTCTCTGACTGTAAGATGGAGAGGGCAGAAATGACACAGTTGGACAAGGATGGATAGAGCGTGCAAAGTGATGCATTCTGCTGGGAATTGTGTAGAACTTTCCCTATAAAAATGTTTTTCAGCCCCATCTTGACACATCTTACCATGAACATGTGCTTGATGCCAAGAAATAGAATTTGTGAGAAAGTTTAGAAAATTAACATGCACAGAAGAATACTGTTACCCAGCAGCCACAGTTGACAAAAACTCACCTTCCTTTTCCAGTCGGGAGAAGAGATCTCTTCCCCTGACCTCGGGATGGCCTGGCCCACCAGGCGAGAGGGATCCTGGCGCTCTGCCCACCTTCCACACACCTGAGGGTCTGATAGCCGGCGTCTTTTGGCATGGGGCTGAGGCCTGCAGCTGGCGGCCAGCTCAAACCACGGAGATGGATAGAGCTCAATTTTGGTTGAGTCCAGTGAACTTCTGATGCTGCACTGAAGTGACGATGACAACTTTCGGGGTCCCAGTAAGCCAGAGTCTGGATTTAATTTTTTAAAGAAGGCTTCTTTCTGATTCTGACCCTCCACACTTGCTTCATCTGGAAATGCTTCAGCACAAAAAGGCACCTTCATCCGCTGAGGTGATTTTTGGCAATACTGCTGATGCAGCTGGTCAAATTTCTCCTTGATTCCATCGTAACGATCTTTCGCAGAGCCTAGCGGATATACCCCGGGCACTGAAATAGCTTTGCTGGGTGCCCATGACTTCCTAAATATTCCAAGAGGATTTTCTCGGAAAAGATCAGCTGTGGGGTCGGAGCGGCCTGGGCTCCGTGTGGGGTCGGTCTTCGGAAATGATGCATATGAATCACTTTGGGGCAGGCATCTTCCTGTTTCAATAGCCCATTTGCCCAGGTTTTTAAAAGCCTCATTTAGACTCTTCACTTTTTCTTTGCTGAAAGGTCTAGTTGGCCGGTGGGTTTCTAAGCCCTGGGGGCTCCTGGGGCTTGCTGGATCACTTCTGAGCGTGTCTAGCCCTGAGGAGGAGGAACTGGGGAGGTAGGACAGGCTCAGCTGCTTCCTGGGGGTTGGGCAATATTCCTGGTGAAGTTTCTTAAATTTGCTATCGAATGCCCTGTAATGATTCCCTCCCTCGCCCTGCAGTATTCTTGGTCTGGAAACTATTTTTACAGGAGAAATTAACCACTTTAATGTCATTAATCTATTTTCCTGATCAAGACGATGTGTTGCTCTAGAGTCCACGTAAGTCAATGAAGACAACTTCCGGGGTGTTCCCTTAAGCTCCTTTGAGATTTGGAGTTTGTTTACTTCAGGAAAAGCTTTTTCCAGTTTTAATCCTGCCTGCTGGCCAGAGAGATCTCGGACGTTCTGGCGCTCCCTTAAAACCCCCACCTCTTTCACAGGCTCAGGGCTGGGCACAGGTGTCTCCTGGGAAGCCCTCCGTGCGTGCCTGCTGCCTCTGCAATATGTCCTGTTCATTCTGCTCTTGCACCCGTGTCTCCTCCGAGAGCTCCAGTTTCGAACAATGAAGGTTTTGGTGGAGATGATGCACGAGGGCTTTGAGCTCAGCAGCCGGCTCATCGAGTGCAGCATGCCTGCATATAGGTCACTGATGGTCACGTTGCAGATGTCGCTGGCCACAAAGGACTGGCTGCTCAAGAAGCTGTGACCACTGGTCTCTTGTAATGAGACACTGTCATTTCTGGGCACTATGATCGTGTCTGTGGAGCAAAGGCCTGAAGATGCAGCTGGCTCAAAAGAACTGTCTTCAGAGACATGGCCACAATATCCTGGAGCAAAGCACACAGGTAAATGTGTGTAAGTTATCCCTTCAAACAATCTGCATGCAGAGATCATGGAACGGAAGGCTGGATCATGACCATAATGGTTTTTTAATAAAACAATACAAAAACAAAAGAAACATTACACATATTTGGGAAT